TGATTGATTGATTGATTGATTGATTGATTGAATGATTGATTGATTGATTGATTGATTGAGTGATTGGTTGATTGATTGACTGAATGAATGACTGAATGAATGAATGAATGAATGAATGAAACAGTACAAAACGTAGGGCGTGGACAAAAGGTTTCAGTGTTTTGACGGAGTTGGGCCAATCTCTTGAAATTCCGAACCCAAAGTGCTAAAACCACTTTTCTTGATCACAGACTATATGGAGTGTCTTTTTAATGAGTAGAAATTGGGAACTAAAGCAACGAACATGAACAAAAATGTAGCTGTGGCTTGATGGAGTTGGTCCAAGCTATTCGAATTGAAAGTCGCCAGTGCCAGAAAACCAGTCGCATCTTGGTCGCCCACAGGTCCATACGGTCCTTTCAGCCTTGGGCCGCTTTGGTGTGGGGTCAAAAAAGGGTCAAGAAAATCGATTTGTCTAGCCCCTATTTAGGTTTCACATGTGCCTCAGCTTTGGCTCGTGCAAATCAGCCACAAGCTGCCATGACGCATCATTGGTTGATGAGTTTTAAGGGTGGCGTCAAGTAGTTTTTGAAAAACATGGAGAGCCGCAAGCATTTCAAGTACAGGCGCAAGCCCAATGTTGGTTTCACAGAGTTGGGCCAAACTCTTGAAATCATTAAAGTTGAGTATGCCAGGCCCCTTGCCTACAATATGTTTGTGTAAGGGATGCGCGAGGTTCAAGCACGGGTCAAAACCCTGGTTTTCGGGAAAACAACGCAAAGTCGCCAACAACCGGACACGACTCCCGGTCTATTGGATTTCGAAAGCACAAAAACTTCAAGGTTGAAAGGTATGCTGGAACTAGGAGGCTTGCTGGTTGAGGCGCAAATACGGAAATGGGGAGATCCAAAACAAGCAACAAAGTTGTATGTCCTTTAGGGTTGTGCTGTTGCAGGTAAGGGGATTAAAACGTGAAGTGTCCTAAAACGATGTTCGTTGATATCGTAGTCTGAGGACACTTTCGAACTTAAAAAACATCTGAAGTTGCGCATTGTGCGCAATGCCACAACAATAGCCTGCGTTCAGAAGTATGTCTGTAAATAAAGTCCAATGAGCTTGCCATGTGCCACATGCGTCCCAAGTAAATGCTTCACGCTTCAGCCAGGGAAATCAGTCGCTCACAAGTAAAGAGGGTTGCGCGCCAGCGCACTTCAATCACATGTCTCCCACAGGACAGGCAACCAGAAGCGTACAAAAAACCAAAGATGAATATGCCGACAAGTCTTCGGATCGCAAGTAAGTGCGCGAGTAAATCTGTGACGTGGGATTCGCATGTAAAAGCGCAAGAAGAGCGCAAACTGCGCTGTCAGTTGCAGGAGTACTACGAGACCTCTGGCAAGAAAATGCATTTTTTGCTTGCATTCCCTGTGGTTGGCAAGGTGCATTCACCCAAGCATCGTTTGGTGTTACAAGGGCGAGGCGACAATGCAGCGGCTCCAGAAGCTGTGGAATTAGGGGCCAAACAGGGGGGGTCGCCAGATTGAGTAGTCACCAGCTTGCTTACGCGAACCCTCTGCGAACCCCAGCTGGGTTAGCCGAACTTAGCCGAACCTAGGGGGGGTTAGTGGAGGGTTAGTGGGGTGTCCCGCGCGTAGCCAGCAGGCACCAAAGCAATGCGATCCTTTTTGCGTCAAACCAGGCAGCCATCGTCTTTCAGTGGCTCACTAGAATCGGGGCCTGTCGACACACGATGCATCATCGGACAAACAACACAACACTTGAGAATCACAAAAAGACAGTGGATGGCCTGCCTGATGGTGTGCTTGGCCCAATGGATGCGACCAAGCCTCAGCCATCATCCAGCTCCAGCAATAAGCACATGAGCGGGTCATGTTGGTGAAGTCAAGCCATGCACTAGCGTACGCGTGGGCAAAATGAGGACCGCTCCCTTGCAAATCGCCCAAAGCCTGGGCGTGAGGGATGCTTGTGAACCGCAAAACCATGGTCAACTGTCAAGGCCACGGGTTGGTGTGTTGCAGGTGGCTGGTGCTCGGGCGTTGGGTGGTTTTGCTGGTGGGTTTTGCAGCGGTTGGCTTTTTGCAGCTGGCTCGTTTGTTGTCGACGCATTCTTTATGAACCTGTTCTGCTGTTGGCTGGCCTTAGATGGACATATTTAATCAAAAACACCACCCACACAACCACAAACATAAACACCCACCCACCCACCCACCCACCCACCCGCCCGCCCGCCCGCCCTACCAGCCACCCACCCACCTGCTCCACCCAACCCACCCGCCCCACCCACCCACGCCCACCCACCCACACCCATCCACCCACCCACCCACACCCACCCACCCACACCCACCCACACCCACCCACCCACACCCACCCACACCCACCCACCCACACCCGCCCGCCCACGCCCACACGCCCCGCACAAACCCGCCACACCGTGCCACACCCTGGCACACCCACTCGCCCACACAACTAGGCGCCAGACACGCTTGCCCTTTTTTCCAAGGAGCTGCTCATTTGAATGATTGGGCTGTATTGCGGGGTTTATATCCCTGGTCCTTGGTTCCTGGTCGTTGGTCCCCTGGTCTTTGCTTGGTCGGCGCCTTGATCTTTGGTATCATTCGTGCTAGGACACACACGGTAAAGACACGAGCGCTCTTGGAAACAAACATGGAAGCCAAGCATGTCCCGAATTGTTGGCCAGTGCTCTGTCCAAAACGATCTTGCGGATGCACCCCTCACACCCCACTCTCCCACACCCCCACACCACCACACCCCCACACCCACACTCCTTATATCCCTGCACATTTCATTATTGATGTTGAACCAAGATTGCGCTTCTGACCGTGGCTGCATCGCTGAACATAGACCAATCACAATGGACAAAGGCAAACAGCAGCAGAGTATCGCAATAGCATTGCTGCTACTCTAAGCTGGCAACATGGCAGAATCTGATTGACGAAGGCCGAGACGAAGCCCTGCGAGCAAATGCCAGTGTGTGAGACTTAATTAGACTGAGCGCCAGGCTTGGACCCTCCTTGCAGTTGATGGACCACCTCGGACTCCAGATAAACAAAGCAGGACAGGGAAGCATCATGAAGACATGCTCTTTTCGCCAGCGCTTGGCACATTTTGACTTACATCGCGTGCTCGACCTGACAACAAAAAAACCTATAATCACGTGGCCTTTATGCAGGGCAAAGCCGTGAGACCACGGCGTGACTCAATCCGACTCAACGTCGCTCAGACCGCCCTTGCCACTCTTGGGCTTTTGAGGGCTGGACATTTTCAACTGCTTGGCCCCTGTTTCAGGAGACCCTTGCTTCTTGGTTGTCTTCCGGCTCTTCCGTGGCGGGGTCTTGACTTCAGGCTTCTCGTCTAAAGTCCCAGCGTCAGCGCAGTCCTTCAGAAACAGCGGGCCAGCAATCTTGATGTCCGGGGACTTTTGCAACAATGACGAGACGCTCAGGGAAACCAAATCCCTCTTCAGGACTGCTTTGGCGAACGAGTGACCGAGGACCAGCTCTGTGTCATCACCGCAGATGCAGTCCGGGAGTGGCAGGACTTCTCCAGTGGGGACAAACCGCACGACCTTCTCACCGCTCTCATCATCCTCCAATCGCCAGTAGCTGTGGGCAGACCAGAAGGCCTACCGGGCAAAGCCCAAATTTTCAAAATGCGACAAGCCCTAACATCCAACATTAAGCACTATTGAACTACAACATGTGACACGCGGCATTGGTGGTGGATTGGTTCTGCTTCAGGCCTGTGTGGTTGCATCCCCGTCTGAGTCAAAGAGCCAGTCTTTGCAGCGCTCCCCATTGCGGACCCAGCGGTCGCGGAAGTAGTCCCTCAAAGGCCCAACCTTCTTGGTTGGCAAGGCCGAGGCAGGGTCCGCCACTGCAACCTTGACCTCTTCGGGGAAGGCGGCCGCACAACTAGCCCTATGACCTGTGACTCGCGCAAGATGCCTCCACGGACTGCGCGCATTGCAGGGTAAAAGCCTGCAAGCAGGCAAGTGAGATTAAGCAGGCAATCAGATCAAGCCAGTCAGCAAGCATGGCTGCAACAAAGAACGCAGTGTGCAAACTGCCCGGAATCTTTTTTTCGCGTGCCACAGGCTGCAAATCTTACCTCTGCCGGGCTGAAACAAGAACACGTGGCTGTGAGTTCGACCACTGCTATCGACAACTTATTTTGTTTCAAGCTGCGCTTGCCATCCTTAACGTTGGGCGCTGGAATGCTGCAAGCTGTTTTTGTTGCGGCTTAGGCTCCTTGTGATAATGAACAGGTTTTCCCGAACGCCAACCGAACAAGTGACCTGACACATTAAGCTGCAAGTTTTTCCCTGAAGCTATTTGAACGTTAAAGGTAAATACAAGTGGCCAATGGAAACAACCAAATAGACGACTAATTATACCAAAGCCAGCCTCACAGGCAGAGTCAAGCAGGCCAACTGAAAAATCAACTTGAATACCCTCCCCAAACTTATGATTAAAAGCAAAGGGATGGCAACATGTCGGAGATTCAAAAATTTTCAGCTTTCCGCAAAGCAGTTTTCAAAGGCAAAGTGAAGGCAGCCAATTAGCTGATTGGAACATCGACTTGAAAATTTGCCCCGGAAGCAGCCTAGATGAAAACGTGCGGGCAGCCAAGTGGAAACGGAGGCAGCAAACTGGCAAATCTAATCATGGAAGCAAAGTCAAGGCGGCCAACTGGGAAATTAAATCGAAAGCTTTCCTTAAAAGCAGTTTTCAAGGCACAGTCAAGCGGCCAATGGCAACATCCAATTGCAAGTGTTCCACGAAAACAGCCTTAGATGAAAAGAGCAGGCAGCCAAGTGGAAGCAATTCAAATTAATTTTTTGAAGCGAAGGTAGCCAATTGGAAAACCAAGCTGGAAGCCTTCCCCAAAGACCCTGCTGAACGGCAGCCAAATGGAAAACAGACCCGGGAACTTCTTCGAAACATTTATTTGTTTTATGGCTTTCTTATTGTAGACCACTCTCATGCCACGACATTCTTGAAGTCGAACGGGCACTGGCAGTTTGGGTGAAACATTTTGTGCCTCTCCCAGGCGCCTTGCACAACCGATTCCACTGGCGCTGACTCATTCCCGCTTGGCCCCCAAGACCTGCTCATACTCCATCCACTTTTGTGGAAAATCCGCCAACACTTGTTAAAAGTGTCACGGTAGCACCGATAAGAGCCATCTGGCAGCCACGCAGACACACGCTCTGCATCGAAGACCCTGAAACTTGCAAAGTTGACCGGCTTTCGCTTGACAGCTTTTGCTTTGGACCCTGCTTTGCGCACGCGGCTGATTGCCCCTGCAACGTCCAAAAATGCCTGATGAGAGGCCTTGGCTTGCTTCAAGGCATCTTGCACTTCTTGTTGGTCTCGAGCGTGAACGAGTTCTTCGAAAGCTGGCTGCTTCAGCAAATCGATGAGGTCTTGTTTGTCGTCCGCGTGTCTATGGTGCAAGTTGCTCTCCATGATGTCAGCAGCCTTTTCTGGTGAGACCTTCAGCGCCTTTTCAACGCAGACCCGCAAAAGTTCCCCTACGAGATGACTGTCTTGGACCGCGGCATCCTGGGCAAACTCTTCTTTTGCCAAGAGCTTCAAGATGCTGGCTGGCAAATCCCAGTATGCGTGCTGGGCACTATACTCCAGAAGCGGGACCTTATTGCGGGAATCTTCGTCTGACTTACACACCAGCGGGAGAGCAGACAGGTCTCTCTCTTTGTGCCTTGCAAACATGTGAAGTGGGCTATACGTGTCTGATGGCAACACAGACCAATCCGTGAAGCAGGAGACCTGTGCCCACACAAGTGATGCTGTGGATAAAGCAGCATCGGCAAGACTCCATCCATATTTACATTCCTGTAAAGGGACTAGCAACACACCACTGTTGCCAGGCCAAACGCCCAAAGACAGACAAGGTCGAGGCCAGGACTTGTGCATCACCACCAAGCCCTGACGCAACAGAGTGCTCCGCCACGTTGCTGCGAGCTTGCCAATCGAGTCGGAGTCCTTGGCGTTGGCTAATAACGTCAGCTCGCAGGCAAGGCCCCCTACACCTTGAGGTGAAAGGGAAGGCCACACCATTTGTTTCAGGATTCCTTTCAGCACAGGCGAAGTGGGCTGCTTACGCTGGATGTGGTAAACAGACTCAGGCAAACTGACTGCTGGCAAGGTCGTATCTGTGGCGACCTCGTGAAAGCCAGAACCCTCCAAGACCTTTCTGAAGGAAAGCGTTTGCCACACCTGGCATGATGTCATGTCATAACCTTTGTTTTCTGTGGACTCTGTTTCACGAAGTCGGGAGAAACCTTCCTCATTCCACGTGCACCCGAAGCCACTGAAACAATCATCCAGAAAACAACGCAGACCTTTGCTCAACTGCCACTCGCTGCGCTCAAGCTCCGCCACGACATCCCGCATGATTTGCAAATTGAACGGAGACCGCTTGGCAAACACCTGACACCATTTCCCGCGACGTGTTGCAGCTGCTTTGTGTGCTTCATAACTGCGCCGCAAGTGTACCAGGGTAGCGGCTTGCTCAGCCTCGGTGCCCAGCAGCAAGACTAATTTCATCGGGTAGCCAAACAGGACCGGAGAAGCGTACACGAGCTTGTAAAAGACCAGCGTCAAGGCCATCTTCATGTGTCGTTGGCTTTGTTTGTCCTGTAGCCGAACCTGTGGGTGGTCCACAGACATTCTGCCAACAGCATTGCCACAGAGCTCGGCCTCAAACCAAAGACCTGTGCTCTCCAACGTGTCTGGCTGCAGAAGCTGCTCCAGAATCCGACCGGCTACTGCCAAAGGCCCCCCCCGAGCCTGTTCAAGCCAGTGCTGTCTGCAGCCCTCTTTGCCAGTGCTCAGCAAAGACCGGATGCCATGCAGCTCATGACCTTGGTCGCTCAGAAGCTTACACCCAACATGTTTCAATCAATAATAAGTTTATGGAAGCCAGGGGCCGGTTGGCCAGCAGTCGGTTGAGAAGCCCGGAATGTCCAAACATGCCAACAAACGGCCAGGCCACCATGTGCAAGATGGTTGGTTTTACCAGAAACACCTTTATTGGGCTTCCTGCAGTCGCGTTACACATAGTGCTCGGGACTGTTATGATGTCAGGATACGATTGGTTCGCCAGGGACAGGCATGTTGCACTGCTCACAGACAGGCTGACAGGACTCCCCTAACGCGAAGCCACTATACGCGCCATCAGAACGCTTTCCAAAGGGCAACGTGTCCATGTGTGTCTGCGCCAGATGTCTCGCTAATCAATGAAAGCCAGGCTTCGAATCAACGAAGTATCTTGAACTCGGTAACCCCGTTCTGTACCAACCATGCGTGACAGAAAAACAGCCAGACCCCAGGACACATGCCTATTGCCTGAAACGTTGAAGCAATAACATCTGGTGTGCAGAACAGGGGTCAAATTTCATCTGTCGATGCGTGGAAAATTAGGCTGGGTTCCGTTCCTTGTCACACACACGGGCACAGACACAAAACAATTAAACCCCAAAAACACAGAAACACATAAACTCACAAGAGCACCAACATGCAAACAGAAAGCTGCCAAAAGTGTGAAGAAAGCAAACACCCACACACACACACACACGCACACGCACAAGTGCCAACGCATGCTAACACGCGCAAGCAGGGGCCAACCTGCAATAATAAAGGCACACGTGGCGAGCACTCCCGCAAACTTTAGCGCACACACACGCAAAAAAAAGAAAACAGGGAAACGTGCAAACACGAACCACACACACAAACACACACACACAACCGCACAAACACACAAACAAACAAACACACAAACACAAAAACACACAAACGCACAAATGCACAACCACACAATCGCACAAACGCACAAACACAAACACACACACACACACAACACACACACACACACAGAGACAGACAGACAGACAGACAGACAGACAGACAGACAGACAGACAGACAGACAGACAGACAGACAGACAGACAGACAGACAGACAGACAGACAGACAGACAGACAGACAGACAGACAGACAGACAGACAGACAGACAGACATCAGACAGACAGACAGACAGACAGACAGACAGACAGACAGACAGACAGACAGACAGACAGACAGACAGACAGAGACAGACAGACAGTCAGACAGACAGACAGACAGACAGACAGACAGACAGACAGACAGACAGACAGACAGACAGACAGACAGACAGACAGACAGACAGACAGACAGACAGACAGACAGACAGACAGACAGACAGACAGACAGACAGACAGACAGACAGACAGACAGACAGACAGACAGACAGACAGACAGACAGACAGACAGACAGACAGACACACACACACACACACACGCAGACACAGACACACACACACACACACACACACACACACACACACACACACACACACACACACACACACACACACACACACACACACACACACACACACACACACACACACACACACACACACGCACACACACACACACACACTCACACTCACACTCACACTCACACTCACACTCACACTCACACTCACACTCACACTCACACACACACACGAAGCAAACACCCACACACGCCCGCGCACACACACACACACGCAAAGCAAACACCCACACACGCCCGTGTGCACGCACCCACTTTCGTGCGCACGCACATGATCACGCACGCACACACACACACACACCTGCCCAGCCAGCCACAAGTGCGCACCTGCACGCGCGTGATATCGCCCACGTGCTCGAGCATGCCCACACACCAGCCCACCCACGTACCCAAGTTCCACAGGAGGTACGTGCTTTTAGCAAAGTCACTGACCGGGACAGAAATGCAATACCATGCCTGGATCATCGAGACCCCGTCCGTGTTCAGCAGAGTCATGGTGACCACGTGTAGCTTGTTCCGACACTGGCGATACATTTGCGCCTTTGTCTCTGCCTTGAGAGTGCTCTTGTCGTCGCACTCTGCGGCTCGTGTCTCAGACCACCCAGCTTTGTTCAGCACTCCGCTGAGATACCCGCATTTCAAGCCAAAACTGATCAGCAGGCCAAGCATAAGGGACAGCTCTGACCGTCGCTCAGACCAGCCTGCATGAAATGCATCCCAGCGACTTGCCGATGCTGGGCCACGGTGCTGGAGAAATTTAGCATTTGCTAGACCTGCCAGAATGTCAGTTCGACTGATGTCTGTCTGGCTCAGGCCGAGCTCTTTGCCTATACCGGGCAAAAGGTGTTGGACCAAAGCATCGCTCTGGCCAGCTGCTTGAGCTAACCATTCGCTCGCTTCTTCTTGAAGAATTCGGTGCCATTTGTGACCAGACCACGGGCCTCGTTGGAAAGACAGAATGAACTCGGCTGCCAGCATGGCGCCTCTCAGGCCAGACCCACCATGGGTAATAGAGTTCTCCAACTCTCGAGAGATCCGGTGTCTGGGGTCCCAAAAAGAAATCATTCTCAGACCGGCGCCGTACTGTAGAAACATCAGGGCAGAATTCACATCTGGGCCGCCGTCAGCTGTCAGACACAAAGTGGGAAGTTCGAGGAGAGGCTTCCCTGCTTCTGCGTCGGTTGGAAGGAAACTTGACAGGCCGTTCATGTGGGGAAGTATGCAGCTCAAGGTGTGGTCCAGGCCCATGATTTGCTCGTAAGACGGCAGTCCTGAGAACGCAACAGGCCATTTGAAAGCGAGCCAGCATGTAACACGCTTTTGTGTGCAAGCCAAAGGAAAAACAATTTACTTTGGCCAGGGCACTCGAGACCTTCTGCACCACCGAGGTTGGTTCTGCTGTGGCCTCCCGGCTCCGCAGTTCTTCCAGGAACTCAAGGGTCCTGAGATCTAAGCGCTCTTGTTCCGCTTGATTTGGCTTCTGCTCTGAGTCGGGAGGCCGGTAGCCACCATCACGGTATCTGACCGGAGGGGCCCAGCAAGCGAGACCTCCACTGAGCACGCAGAAGGTCACCCACTTGCGACCGCCGACCCGGGAACCGTCGAAGGCGGTATGAACCCTTACAGCGGAGGCAAACTTTTTGCGCACTGTCTGCCAGTACTGAGACCTTTCTTGCCGGCGATGTCGAAAGGTCAGCATCGAGCGTGCCATTGCCGTCTGTGCTTTCCGCTGGCCCAGCTGTCTCCTTGATAGCTTTTCATTCGCCGATTGACCTTTCTTCTTGTGTCGGCTGCGTGTGGTCAGTGCTGCCTGCAACCGAGCAAGTCGCACATTGGGGTCGCGCCAGTCTGGCTCAGACCAGTCAAAGGCATCGGACTCCAGGGGCGTGGACTCGAACTGTTTGCAAGCAATTCCATTCTCAAGCTCTGGAGTGAGACCTTGCAGGAGTGCGCGGAAAAGCCATTTGTACTCATTCCACCGAAAGAGCTGCACCAACACGTCTGCAAGGCCGCGTTCCTCGCCCATTGACCGCGTGATCTTTCTACGCAAGCTCTTTTGCCGCTCCCGAAAGGCGGTGCGGGCTGTGAGCTCAGACAAGGACACCCGCCCCTGATTCAGTGACAAATGGAGCGTACAGTCATTGATCTTCACATTTAGCTGCACCTTGTCTGGCAGGAATTGACATAGAAAGCTTTGCAAATATGTCTGCACCTGCTTGGTTCTGTGCTGCGCAGAAAAAAGGGCAAGAAGATATAAGACCAAGCTCGTGGATACGAATACGTCGTGAGCTGTTTCCTCCAAAGCAGCTGCAGGCATTTTGCACCTTTCTCCCCACAAGACATGGCCACGAGCATCCTGGCCAAGCATCCTTTCAAACGATGGAAGCCATTGCTGTCTCAGCTTTTTTGTGACTTCTTTGTTTTTGACCTTTGTGAAAGGCCGAAGGAGCCAGAAGAACCTTTTCTCTTGATTGCACTCAATGAGCGTGACCATGTCCTCCCGAAACGGACCACGAAGTGCTTCACGTGGGTAAAGAAAGTTTCTTTGCTGACAGAATGCGTCAAGCCACTGAAGCTCTTTCTTGTCTTTGTCGTAGACAAACTGCTTGCCAGAGGGCTTATCCAACAACACTCGTCTCTGGAGCAAATCCCTGACCCAGACCGCGGTCGTTTCCTCACCACGCCTGATGTTAAGAAAGCCTCGTTCATTGTCATCAAAATGCAGCACAGCTTCCCCAGAGCCCACAACTGCCTCCCCAGTCTGCTTGTGTCTGAGTAGCCACTTCTCTCCCCAAGCGCTGACCTCCACATGACCAGCATGTGGCACGACATCACACCGCTCCGGCTGATGTTGAGGGTGTGGAGGTGGAGCCACGCAGTCCGACATGAATGGGAAGCAAGGCACGGGACTCAGATTATGCCAAATGATGCTGGCACCAGCATGTGTGTGATGTGCACATGTTTGGCAACTGTTGGCTTTCGACGCAGTGTCCTTTCTAGATTCTATCAAGTCAAACACCCACTGAGAACCGCAGCGAAAAGCCATGATAAAACCAGCACTGCAGCTTGCTTTCGTGCAAAACTGCCATTGTCAACTTGGCCAGCCTCCAGGAATAATAGTCTTCTGCGTGCAGGCCAACCTTTGCAGCAACATCAAGCCACCGCCCTCTGCCCCAATCCCTTCATTCATGAACAGTGCCCCAATCACAGTCCGGAATCCAAACCATGTGTAAAGCTACTGTACAGAATACAGGCAGCACTTTTTTCCCCAACTGAGGCCTATCACCCCTATGTATGGATCAGAACCCCGCAAGTTGGAATGAGTTCCCGCGCCTGTTTCTTTCATGACCTTAGAGCGCTGCGCCCCTGCCACTATGAAAAAATATTCTTTACCAATGTTTGTTAGATGTGAACCGCATTGAAGGGTTGAAGGGCTTTGGCTCCGTGACAGCAGTGGACATCAGTAGCAAAAAAGTCGTCAAGGGCGCGCGGACAGGCTGGGCGCACATTACTGCACAATGATTTGAAGAAGGAAGCCCGTGGCAGTCAAAAGAACTCAGCCCTGCAGTTGGTGCTAATCACCGTGCACCAAGACCGACAAATTAGCCGTGCTTAGGAAATGACCACAACCAAGCACAATTAGCGCATGCCATTTTGGCAATGGCCTTCATGTGCTGATTCTTCACATGGTGACAGCGCCTATGATGGTATTTTGCACGTCCATCCAAGACATACACAACCGGTGTCCCGAAGTCGCAGGCGGTCATGTCCTGCTCACGAGAGACCTTTGCTTCTGCGCGCTTGACCCACCAACAAGTGCCACACACCGTGACCAGCACGACCGCGCCCGTGTAGAAGACCACCATTACCATGATAGTCCTAGCAAACTCGTCCATGCTGGCGCGGTGAGTGTCTAGTGAGAATGCAGCATTTGACCCCAGCCTGCGGGAAAAACAATTCAGCACTCCAAGGTTCGTGGAAAGGATCTCAGCTAATTAATAGAAACAACTGTAGTGTTGTACTGGGCCCATCTGATTTGTACCGCGGAATCCTCAGCTCACCTGGTGGAAGTCCAAACACTTTCCATACTTGCACCTGTGAATGTTCAAAAACATAGTGCCAAGTATGCTCGAAAACCAGTTTCAAACACAGGAATGAATACATGCGAAGGGCGACTGTGGACCTGTGTGCTTACTTACCACCAAATGCAAGAAAAAGGCAAGTTCAACATGGCCAAGCACTCACAAAGCAAGTCCAGCAAGGCCAGTCCAACTAGGCAAGGCCAACATTGCCAAAATTGTTCAAGCCGCACTCCGCTACCTGACCCTGCTTGTCAAGCAAAGAACAACATTGCTCAGACCACTTGTGACAGTAGCAACTATTTTTGCTAGCTGGAATTTGGCCAGTTCTCCGGGCAGAGTGGCCAACAACAATAAAACCAAGTGCCACTGAAATGGCTCGTGCCACTGGAACGCTGGTGGGAGCGGAAAAGCCGCACGCGTTCAGAGTTCACAACCTACTGCTAGCTGCTGTGTGGGCTTGTTGTGCTTGTGTGTGTTGACCGACTTTTAAACGTGGGATGTGTGATGGGCTTAAGGCTAAACATCATCTGTGGCAGCGGCCTTTTGCATCAACGTGGTTAGTCTCGCAATGATGCTCGGATCGGCTGAGCTTTAAGAAAGCACTGGCATGTTATAAGACACAAGCATACTCAGCGCATTCCCGGGCTATGCTGCAAGGGTGGCACCAAGTGGGTCTTCAAATATGAACAGCTTGTAAAGGCCAGATTGATGGGCCCCACCCAGCACAATTGACCCCCTGGGCACAGGCTGTGTGAACAAGATTAAACCAAGCGTTGGTGTGGGCATATGGCAGCAAACTCGTGCCGCAGCTTTTTCCTCTGCCCATTGTGTTGCAGGCCTGCGTTTGCTGGCTTGCATAAACCCAGACCAGATGCGGCGCTGACAGTGCCTCGCATCTAAGTGACCCCGAAACTTCATTGTGCCCCCTTTTTTGAGAGACTAGCATGGTGACCTTTCCATGTCAGATTCAGGTTCAGTCTGATCATCGTCCAGCCGCTGGCCCTGCAACACTAGCCAAGGTGGCACATTGACGGACCTTTGGGACATGGCCTGGCAGGCCACACTGGAGACCCAGTCTCTGACATTCTGATGCCACCGCAAAACACGGCCCTGAAAGACCATGTCCTTGTTCAAGCTGACGTTCTTTGCTTCCAGGTCAAGTATCTGCTGCTTCAGATGCTCCATCTCAGCACTGCAGTGGCAGAACATGGCCACCTGGTCTTCCTCAATTGAGGCAGGCAGCATGGCCGGCTGCAACGCTTCACCATCGGCCTGGCCAGCAATGATCAGACCGCAGGGCGGCTGCAATCCCACATGTTCGGCTGCGTCGCCAATGACCGGACCATCGATTGCAATGACCGCTCTCATTGGTGCTGCTTCAGGCTTGTCACTGACTGGCAGTGGATGCTTAGACTTCCCGACTTTGCCGGCTTGCCTGTACAACTTTGCTAACACCTGCTTCCGTTCATGGGGCTTGTGCTTGACCGCTTGGACCTCTGGCAGGTTCTCATACTTGCTCTGGCGGCTGACCTGACCCAGCTTCTCCTTTCTGTTCCGCTCATAGACCTTGCTGAGCTGTTTCCTTCTGGCTGGCCCTGTCGGACCGTCAGGACCATCCAATCCCAAGGCAGCAGCGTATTTGGAACGCAAACGGGGCATGGCAATCTCTTTCCCCAAGTTGACTAACCTGGAAAAGCCGACAACAGTGGGTGAGTGTCTTTCCTTGTTTGGCTTTATGGTTCTGTGTAGTGTCCGATGTTGTTATGAATCCATGGGTGCTTGAAATGGGGCGCGCTGGGCCAAAAGGATGCGCCGGCCGTGCGCAGAACCCTCACAAGAACACTTTGACTTCCCTTGCTGTAGGGCAAGCCCTGCAGGGTCTTTCCCAAACAGTCGCGTGCCAACTTCCCTTGCTGAGTAATTAAAGGACACTTGTTTCTGAACTGCGTGGTGGCTCTCTGCTCACGTAGTCTTGTCTTGGCCATGCCTGCTTGTCCTGCTACTTGGGTTTCATCTTGCCTTACATGAACGCTGATGAGCAGGGTTCTCTTCGTTGCATATGTAGAGACTGCAAATGTGACTACAGTACATAGTCCATGACCAGTGCGACAAAATCGACCATGGCAATGACCGACTTCATCAAGGCCGACATTATTGAGACCAACTCGAAGAACAGACCTCTAAGCCTTTGTGCTACAAACGCAAGACCACCCGCACCTCTAGCCAAGAATGCGCGGCGTCAGACCAAGCACTGCGAAAACGCAATGGGACTAGCCTGATATGATGACAATCACTCGAACCTGCCCAAGCTTCAGCAAGCAGTCGGCTACACTCTGTAATAAGCACTGTGCACGATGGAAGCAACAGCTTTTGCCAAGTATTTGCCAAGGGAAGTGTAGGAAGTGTCCTCAAACAAAGTGCAAGAGGTTTCCCAAAAGTTGACCTAGGCTGATCCTCTCAACAGGCAACATCTGTCCGTTCTATTAAACACAAACCAAGCTTAGATAGCACGAACCCTGCCCCGAACCCTCGGGGGACACAGCACGAACCCGAGCCAGGGTTAGCACGAACCCTGCCGCGAACCTTCTGCGAACCAAGTTTGCTGTGCTACGTTAAAGGAAGCAGCCACCACGAACCCTTCACGAAGGGGTTAGCACGAACCTCGGTTCGAACCCGAAAACCGGAATGCACGAACGTTTGGGGGCCTGGGATTTCGGCACGCAACCCCCACGAACCACCACGAACCACCACGAACCACGAACCCCCACGAACCCCCACGAACCCCCACGAACCCCCACGAACCCCCACGAACCCTCACGAACCCAGCTGTGTTTCTGCCGACAATTGCTTTTGTGCTTCCCAGATGCTGTGGGTCAGGCCACAGACCGTGCAGGTCAGGACCCGGGACCTAATTAGTGATGGAGTTCTTCGACGTGTCATTGAGACCGCATTTTTGCAGAACTCAACGTGGCCAACAAAACTAGACCAATTGCTGGCAAACACATTGCATTGCCCAGAGTGCCTGACTTGTAAACCGCCAGACATTTGTCGAGCTGGACCCCGGCTGAGTCTGCAGTCTCTTGGCAGACAGGGTAGCCAAACATAAGCGCAAGCTCCCATGGCACAATGAACCGGCGCTTGGCTGGCAACCAGAACTTGGAGTTGCGGCGCATGGTGGGCAGAGATCCGTTCTTGGACATGACCGCGATGAAACTCGGGTTCTGAGTCAAGTCAAAGACACAGGAGTGGTCGCTGCTGGCATTTGACCCGTCTCGGCTGTTCCACAAGTCCAAGTACATCTGCTTGTTCCTGACACGTCAGTTCATGCGCCATGACTTGTCATGTGATGCAACGTGCATCACCAGGCACAAGAACACGCTACGTGTAAGAAATAGCCAAGCTCAAAGCGGTCCTGGCTTCAAAGGTGGACAGCACCGGGCTCCAATCATCGCTGACATGTGTCACCGCCGGGAGCTTCATCCTGGCACGCAGCCGGTTCTCCTCCTTGAGCAGCACGTCCACAGGGGTGAAAGAACAGTAATCTGCAATGGACAGATGCTTGTCGATATTTGCGTGAACTACCCGGCAAATCTCCTGCAAAACGTGTTCGGGGCGTGTGACCACATGGACCTTGTCCTTGCGATATGCCACTGTGAAAAGACGAGGTCTGGCCATGGCAGTTTGTCCGAAATCTGCTGGGGCCAACAGCAAATCGTAGACCATGTACTCTGTGCCCAAGAGGTCGCGGATATACCCAGACCTTGGCAGATCTCCACATCATCACATGTGCTCACTGCACTCTGCGGGTTTGTCAAAATGTTGGGACAACGTGCCCCTGTAGTGAATGAAGCATATTATGCCTAGGAGCTGGAAGCCCAGCACGTTCTCGTGGATGCACCATGTTAGACCACGGCGCTTCACGTGAGCCAGCCAAGCCCACGTGACTCCGGTGCGGCTGTCCTTGTCACCTGGCCACGTGAGCAAAGCACATACATGTGTTGAACAAGCGACAAATGTCTGGCTATACCAGGCCTTCGCGTTTTCCCATTCTTGACCATGGGGGGCACGGAGTGCCCGCTATGCATCCCTGTACGTTCAATGGGACCTGACAGGACCTGTTGTGGGTTAAGCAAGGAATCTCCGAGGACTTGTCGAACTTTTTCACAAAGTGCTGGAACCGCTGGCGTGGAGCTTTGACCTGGTCAGCCTGGCAACCTGGAAACATGTGAAAGAGGTCGCCGAAGACGTGGCCAGAAAGCTTGCGGGCACACAAGGCCTGGCGGCAGTGTGGATCGATCTCAAAGCTCGCCACAGCCTCAAGCTTCACCGCAATGTCCATTGATAGGCCTGCTGCCACCACCTGCTCCACGGCCGCCTCTGCAGTGCCCAAGCCCGCGCAACAGCAAGTAAAAGTCTGACTGCTTGCTGCCAGCAAGCTGTCCGAGTACCCGGGCACAATGTTTGGCAAGTTGGACAGTGCGACCCGAGCCCAGTGGCACAACGCGAGGACACTCGGCGCAGGAGACTTCTGGCCCATGCTCTCGTTCTTGTGGCTGAATTGGACCTCGTCCTCGTGCTCGAGGTGTGCTCGTAGTCTTTTCAGGCCACGCACGGGGGCTTCTAACATGGCTGCAGGCAACAGGGGCGTGTAGGGCTTCAAAGGCCTTGCAGGCGGAAAAACCTCATGAGCCACAGAGCCCTACACAATTGTGGACTTGCTGAAAGCCAATGATTTGATATGGCCACAATGCTCTTGTGAGTCACATGCATTTCCACAATCTTTTGCAACACGCATATCTAAGGTTCTCGCTTGACACGTCTCCGTACAAACGATCGGACTGGCACTCGCCTCGGAAGGCCAAAGATATCACGCTGGTCAGCGCAAATAATTTCAGGCAAACCTAAAACAGCAGGCCCGTGATACACCCAGCCGAGGAGGCAGCCAGAGGATGCCAACTGGATGGGCCTCAAAAAAAAACGCCCACATACTTCTTCTCAGTCACAAAAACAACATGCAATTGCATTCTACGATGTCTGTGTTGCATGCAATGTACCAAACAAATCATTTCATGGCGCGTGTATAAGTCTACAATTTAAGCAACGCAGTAGCAGACATATCCAGCAGCACTAGTACACGGCACCGGGCCGGCGCCTCGCAAGCAAGCGCCGGGCCAGCGTCGTGAGAGAAAGCGCCGGACCAGCGACCAGCAAATGGGCGCCGGGCCGGCGCACGAAAAGGCAGCGCCGGACCGGCGCACGAAAAGGCAGCGCCGGACCGGCGCAGCTGTGGTAGGCCACGCCGGGCCGGCAACGCAACAAAAGATAGTTGCCGAGCCGGTGCTGCTTCAAACAATGCTACAACAATGAAATGCGAGCCGAGGTGATAACGCTGATGTTGAACATATTGCTGCGTGCCAAATGCAAGCTCAACCGTGCTTGATATATGATCGGAAACATTAGGAGTTCTCGCAAAACATTCGTTGTTAAAGCAATGGAATGCTTACGGGCAGCACTTATCTAGAGGCGCCGTGTCGGCGCTATGGGAAGCACAGCCGGACCGGCGCTGACTGCAAGACAAACCTTGCGAACACAGTGCGCCTTTATCGTTCAAAAGAATGGCCGAAAGCATTTACAGAACTACCAATGTTGAAACAAATTTATTTCCGCTGAGACGTCGTGGCAATAAAGCGGACGAGCACGTGCTGAGTGAAGCAAGACGGACTATGGAAACAAAATAGAAAAAGAACATTGTACACAGTGCAAAGGCGCGTAATGCTTGTCGCTTTTTCGGAAGTGTGTTGCGTTTATGGCTTGCCTAGCTGGTGCTAGCGTGCCTAGCTTTTGCCGATGTGTTTCATTGGTTTTTTGACGCCATAAGCATGCAAGTAAATATCATGACACCTGGGTGACGCAGCTTGTGTTTGGCTAGGCTACAGTGTCCTATGCCATTTGCATTGCAAATCTAATCACATCAGCGAATGCTATTGCTGCGTTGCAAATGCTTAGAAGGCTCGGGAAACGCTTTGAGGTTGCAGAGCCGGGTCGGCAAATCCCACTGCCAGCGCCGTCCCGGCACATGGTATGCCCAGCGAGTGCCGAACACACATTAGCACGCATTCGATAGAACACATGTTCGAGAGCAAAAAACTGTTAGTCAGCAACATATTTCAATGGAGCACATTAAGGACCGCAGTGCCACTATTACATTTTGATCGAAAAAACGAATAGACGCAAGGCCTTGCTGGTGCTGGTCTGGCGCTTTTCCAGAGACACATTGTCGGACCGGCGCTGCTGCGAGCTGTGCGCCGCGTCGGCGTTGTATTGCAACAGGCTGGGCTGAGTGGGGCCGGCCCAGCGCGCAGAGAATGGACGCTGTTGTGGCATTGCTGCAAATTTCATCTGGCTCGCTTGTGAAATGAGTGAACACCCACAAGAACTTGCTTTTTTGAAGCGTGCAAAAAGAAATGGCAGCGCTCGGTGTTTTGGTGCGTTCTTGGCACCAGTTGTAGAATGCGAGCGTGCGTGTGGTGCAGGATCTCTTTCTAGCGTGTGATTATAAACCTGTCGCGCTGTGTGTTGACCTGAAATGTTGTTTCGAAGTAATTAGCCAGTTATAACATCATGCCTGGACATGAACACAACCAAGTCACCATGCTCACGACAGCTCGAGCTGCGTCCAGCACAACTGATTCCCAGCGCCCAGCGTGTGGCCAAAGTGATCGCCTGGAACTCGAGATACCCACCTGGCAAACACAAAGGGCAAATGATGGCGTGTGGAGCATGCTTTTCGAACGGTGGCATGAACTGCTACAGCGCTCTGTGTGAGGCAGCCCCGAGGCAGCATAGGTGCATTTTTTTTCTTCATGACTGGCGGCTGCACGGCTACGTCGTTCGCCGTAAATTCCGGCCATTCCGCCATGCTGCAAGGTCGCAATTATTTCTGAATAGACCTGTCACTTATTCTGGGTAGAAAAACCAAGACCAAGGCTCAACATTACTAGCATTGCAACAAGGGCTTGACCTCACACAAACGTGACCAAGCAGGCATGAATTAAAATTAGACGGACCGCAGCAACTGATCATCAGGAAGTTGACCAGGACCAGCTTGACCAGTGGGACCAGTCGTCGTGTGCTCGCCACTGATCGCTCCAGTCTGCCTGCTGCTGCTCTTCGGGTGACCAGAGCCAAGCCCCATGGTGGTTTCCATCCTCCTGATTCTCCTCCGTGGCCTCCTGGGCTTTATCATGGCTCCCACCCTCCTTGGCCTCCGCCGCCTTCTCGTCTGACTTCTCCTGCGCCTTCTCGTCTGGCTTCTCCTCCTTCTCGTCTGACTTCTCCTCCGCCTTCTTGTCTGACTTCTCCTCCGCCTTCTCTTCATCACGTGCAGCGCCCTCCTGATTTTGGCTCAGCCAGGCCTTGCTTGAGGACCACAAAAACTCGTCAGGATTGGGGTTCTGGGGGGAGGAGGACTGCTGAAGGCCTGCAGTTTCCTCCTGACCCGGAGGAGGCACAGGTGCTGCAACATCGGCGGGCGGGGGCAGACCATCCTGACCGTTGCCAGCTGGACCTGTGTTGCTTGATGATCGCTCCCAGCCCCAGTCAGAAGACCTCCAAGACCAATTCGTGTCCTCATAGAAAGCGAAAGACGGCTCTGGCCGTGCAGGAGCTTCTGGATAATCTCCGCGACCAGTTTCTTAGCAGGGCAGTCGCGCGCAAAACGTCCCTTGTTTGAGTTTGGCCCGAGTGGAATGCATGACGTGCAAATCATCAAAATGTGCAGCTAAGATGCGATGCCACTCGATGCGATCTCGACAGTACTGCGAGAGGACCTTGGACACGTCGCGCCACCGATGGCTGCGGTCGTACTGCAGCATTTGGCCTTGCCAGCACGTGTGACGGGCAACACCTTCAATCTAAGCACCAAATGAGGGCACTTGCAAACACCCATAATAATAGTAGTAACTAACTATATTATTCATAAGACTCGGCCAAGCAGCGCTGCAGCTTGGGGATGATCTCCATCGCGTACTGCTTCAGCTCTGAGTGCGTCAGCAAGGTCAGGATCGCCTTAGTCAGTGGTTGGGCAAAAGCTCTATTTAAGGTACTACACGAACGCTCGTGGCACAAGTACAGATCCCATCTGTGTTGACCAAATAAAACATCACATGTGTAAAACAAAAGCGCAAACTAGCTGCCATCGAGACACAATCCAAGCATGACGATCGACCTGCAGGTCCTCCAAGCACAAATGCATGCGCGGCGCCAGCTCCATCACCATTTCCTTGATGCGAGGCAACTGATCCGGCGGGCGACCACCCGCATCTCGACCAGCCGCTGGACCAGCTGGCTGACCTGTCAGCGGACCTGCCACTTGGCCCGCCGTTGGTTGCCCGGGAGGCATGGCTGTGCTCGCTTGGCCAGAGGCATTCCAGGGCACAAAGACCGGCGGCGTGGCGAGCTTGGGTGGCGGTGGGGGAGGGAGCGCCGTCACTTTGGCCTGGGGGAAAGGTGGCGGGCCATGTGTGCCCATTGGTTCTAGGAGTACAGGTGGGACCTGCATCCAAAGCGAGCCATCTGGCGCAGTGACCAAAGGCTGTGACATCTTTGCTAGACCGCCTTGAGCGTGAAAAATGCAAACTGCATGGCAAGATGCAAGCACCCCTCGAAAAGAATTCAATTGATGTCATGATAGAAAAATATTGCTTGGAACTGCCCGGGAAAATGATTTGTCAATTCGCCCAACGTCAACGCAGGCGTCAGGCATCAATGCATCACTGGAAAGTAACCAAGCCAGGCGCACGCTCCTGCAATAATAAAGTGCAGCCAGATGACCACATTGGGCCTGAAGCAAATCCGAGCGCAGTTCTAGGACTGTTCCCACTGCACAGCAACAGCAGGTCCACGCCAGCCTTGAGGGCAAAGCCTAGCGAGCACACTGAAGGTCCAGCAACCACGACTTTGGACTGGACAAGCAGAGGCCTGTTGAGGAGTTTTACAAAGCCAGCAAAAGTCTGCAAGAAATTGCAAGACCTCGCTGGCCTCAACTACTCAAGGCAGACCCAAAGACAGTGTAAGACCTCGCTGGCCCCGAGGCACCAGCGGAGGCTGCACCGTTGCTGGCCTCGGCGACGCCAAAGCCAGCAGAGGTTGTGAGACCTTGCTGGCCTTGAGCCCAAGGCCAGTAGAGGAGACCTCGCTGGCCCCGAGGCAGCCCCAAAGCCAGCAGAATGCCAGCACAGTTTGCAACACCTCGCTGGTTTCAAGGCAGCCCCAAAGGCAGCAGAGGTTCCAGGATTTCGTGGGCCGCAAGGCGACACCACAGCCAACGTAGGTTGCAAGACCTCGCTGGCCTCGAGGCAGCCAAGCCAGCAGAGGTTGTAAGACCTTGCTGGTCTTGAGGCAGCCCCAAAGCCAGCAGAGGTTGTAAGACCTCGCTGGCCTTGAGGCAGCCCCAAAGCCAGCAGAATGCCAGCACAGCTTGCAACACCTCGCTGGCCTCAAGGCAGCCTCAAAGCGAGCAGAGGCCACCACACCTTGCTCAGCCCCAAGACCAGCAGAGGTTGCAACACCTCGCTGGCCTCAAGGCAGCCCCAAAGCCAGCAGAGGTTGCAGGACCTTGCGGGCCGCAAGGTGACACCACAGCCAACGTAGGTTGCAAGACCTCGCTGGCCTCGAGGCAGCCCCAAAGCCAGCAGAGGCTGCAGGACCTCGCTGGCCTCAAGGCAGCCCCAGCCAGCAAAGGTTGCAAAACCTTGCTGCCCCCATGCTTCACCAACAGCCGGCCTCAAGGCCAATAAAAGTCACTGGCCTCAAGGCCCAACATGACTGGACAGGCATCATCCAACTCAATCTTGCAGGACCAAAATGACCAGCATGCTTGCAAGCAGACCATGCAAGGCACGCCTCATGTAATGAAGGCCTAACAACTGCTGTCCCCAAGGCCTGGCTGCAAGACAAAACGGCCTGGTGCGCAGGCACACTTGTTACAAACACATGCCTCAGACACTCAAATGCGCAAGCGTCATCTCTCGCACCTAAGACCAGATTGTTGCCTGATGTGGGGCCTCGAAGCACAGTCAACACAAGAAATGCTCCACGCACTGCACAGCCTAGACCTTGTGAGCGCTTAGAATCCAGCCAAATGCCCCAGCATACCTGGGCCGGTTCACTTGCCAAGTCAACTTGCCAAGCCTGAGTGCGCCTGAGCGTGAGGCTGAGCGTGAGGCTGAGGCCAGGCACAAGTCCTGCAGCTTTGTTTGTCACCATGGCCATATGACGTGGGATATTCTGACCCCTGATCTACTGACCAAACACCGCTGATTTAAATATAGCTTGGGGAGGGGTGGTAAGCACAGCCAGCAATCAGGCATTATTTTGAGCACCCACACTCGTCGTGAAACTTTCGGACCAGTGATCCGTGAGGAAAAGCGAGGTGAGACCCGGAAGATCCACATGCCTGCTGCTTGCGAAACCACGCTTTTGGTCTGAGACTGGGCGCAGTTGATTAAAGGCCTTTCTTAGCCGGGGCAAGCATGTGGATGGCAGACCGGTGTGCGGCAAAAAGAGGCCACAGCAGCCTCAGGCCTCAGGCCAGGCCGGCTTGGCTTTCACTGGTACTGGTGGCGGTGGCTTCGGGGCGCTGGACTTGGGCGGCGGTGTGTGCGGCACAATGAACTTGACCGCCGGACCAGGTGCACCTGCTCACAGCTTCGAAATTCAGAAAACGGCTTTGCTAATGACACTGCAGCATGATGCTTCTGTGACACAACCTTGCCTCCTTGAGAAAGGCCAGCTTTCATCTGACCGCCAGCCGTCACAGGCACTGCCGGCAAATGACCTGTGACGTCAGAAGGGGCAGATGTCCGCACAAGAAACCAACTCGCCTGCGTCACGGCGTTCAGGAGCATTTGGCAGACCTCCTGCAGGGTTTGGGCCATGAGCGCCAGCCTCAAAGCCAGCAAGGTCTTACAGACCCCGCTGGCCTCGAGGCCCAACTGGACAAGCAACCCAGCCAGCCTCAAAGCCAGCAGGGTCTTACAGACCCCGCTGGCCTCGAGGCCCAACTGGCCAAGCCCCAGCCAGCCTCAAAGCCAGCAGCTTACAGACCCTGCTGGCCTCGAGGCCCAACTCAACCCAGCCAGCCTCAAAGCCAGCAGGGTCTTACAGACCCTGCTGGCCTCGAGGCCCAACTGGACAAGCAACCCAGCCAGCCTCGAAGCCAGCAGGGTCTTACCGACCCTGCTCGCCTCGAGGCCCAACTGGCCAAGCAACCCAGCCAGCCTCAAAGCCAGCAGGGTCTTGCAGACCCTGCTGGCCTCGAGGCCCAACTGGACAAGCAACCCAGCCAGCCTCAAAGCCAGCAAGGTCTTTAGACCCCGCTGGCCTCAAGGCCCAACTGGATGACAAGCAACCCAGCCAGCCTCAAAGCCAGCAGGGTCTTACAGACCCTGCTGGCCTCGAGGCCCAACTGGACAAGCAACCCAGCCAGCCTCAAAGCCAGCAGGGTCTTACAGACCCTGCTGGCCTCGAGGCCCAACTGGACAAGCAACCCAGCCAGCCTCAGAGCCAGCAGGGTCTTACAGACCCTGCTGGCCTCGAGGCCCAACTGGACAAGCAACCCAGCCAGCCTCAAAGCCAGCAGGGTGTAAGACCCTGCTGGCCTCGAGGCCCAACTGGACAAGCAACTCAGCCAGCCTCAAAGCCAGCAGGGTCTTACAGAGCCCAACTGGCCAGCAGGGTCTTTAGACTGCGCTGGCCTCAAGGCCCAACTGGACAAGCAACTCAGCCAGCCTCACAGCCAGCAGGGTCTTACAGACCCCGCTGGCCTCTGAGGCCCAACTGGACAAGCAACCCAGCCAGCCTCAAAGCCAGCAGGGTCTTACAGACCCTGCTGGCCTCGAGGCCCAACTGGACAAGCAACCCAGCCTCAAAGCCAGCAGGGTCTTACAGACCCTGCTGGCCTCGAGGCCCAACTGGACAAGCAACCCAGCCAGCCTCAAAGCCAGCAGGGTCTTGCAGACCCTGCTGGCCTCGAGGACAAGCAACCCAGCCAGCCTCAAAGCCTAGGCTGGCCTCAAGGCCCAACTGCAAGCAGCCAGCCTCAAAGCCAGCAGGGTCTTACAGACCCTGCTGCCTCGGGCCCAACTGGACAAGCAACCTGGCCAGCCTGGCAAAGGGCTCTCTTACAGACCCTAGCCACTGCAGCTCAAAGCCAGCAGGGTCTCAAGGCCCAACTGGACAAGCAACTCAGCCAGCCTCACAGCCAGCAGGGTCTTACAGACCCTGCTGGCCTCGAGGCCCAACTGGACAAGCAACCCAGCCAGCCTCAAAGCCAGCAGGGTCTTACAGACCCTGCTGGCCTCGAGGCCCAACTGGACAAGCAACCCAGCCAGCCTCAAGCCAGCACAAGCCCAACTGGACAAGGCATCACAGCCAGTCAGAGCCAGCCCAACTGGACAAGCAACCCAGCCAGCCTCAAAGCCAGCAGGGTCTTACAGACCCTGCTGGCCTCGAGGCCCAACTGGACAAGCAACCCAGCCAGCCTCAAAGCCAGCAAGGTCTGTAGACCCGGCTGGCCTCAAGGCCCAACTGAGGGAAGCAACCCAGCCAGCCTCAAAGCCAGCAGGGTCTTACAGACCCTGCTGGCCTCGAGGCCCAACTGGACAAGCAACCCAGCCAGCCTCAAAGCCAGCAGGGTCTTGCAGACCCTGCTGGCCTCGAGGCCCAACTGGACAAGCAACCCAGCCAGCCTCAAAGCCAGCAAGGTCTTTAGACCCCGCTGGCCTCAAGGCCCAACTGGACAAGCAACCCAGCCAGCCTCAAAGCCAGCAGGGTCTTACAGACCCTGCTGGCCTCGAGGCCCAACTGGACAAGCAACCCAGCCAGCCTCAAAGCCAGCAGGGTCTTACAGACCCTGCTGGCCTCGAGGCCCAACTGGACAAGCAACCCAGCCAGCCTCAAAGCCAGCAGGGTCTTTAGACCCTGCTGGCCTCGAGGCCCAACTGGACAAGCAACCCAGCCAGCCTCAAAGCCAGCAGGGTCTTACAGACCCCGCTGGCCTCGAGGCCCAACTGAAAAGCAACCCAGCCAGCCTCGAAGCCAGCAGGGTCTTACAGACCCTGCTGGCCTCGAGGCCCAACTGGACAAGCAACCCAGCCAGCCTCAAAGCCAGCAGGGTCTTGCAGACCCTGCTGGCCTCGAGGCCCAGCTGGACAAGCAACCCAGCCAGCCTCAAAGCCAGCAAGGTCTGTAGACCCGGCTGGCCTCAAGGCCCAACTGAGGGACAAGCAACCCAGCCAGCCTCAAAGCCAGCAGGGTCTTACACACCCTGCTGGCCTCGAGGCCCAACTGGACAAGCAACCCAGCCAGCCTCAAAGCCAGCAGGGTCTTACAGACCCTGCTGGCCTCGAGGCCCAACTGGACAAGCAACCCAGCCAGCCTCAAAGCCAGCAGGGTCTTTAGACCCCGCTGGCCTCAAGGCCCAACTGGACAAGCAACCCTCAAAACCAGCAAATTCAAAAAATGGCTTGGTCAAAGTGGCACTGGTCATGTCAACGTGGCAAGCAGAGTAACATGCAGATCTTTGCAGTACATGTTCGTTCCTGGGGCAAGAAACGGTGTCTAGCATTGGCCCGAAAAAATCGTAAAAATGTGCCCCTTGAGCTTGCTATATTTGGATGTTAATTTACATCAACATGCAGATTCACAGGCACCCACAGACAGGCAACCATTCACACTACCACACACATGCGGCATTGTCAGACATTGAGTCACATGACCACGTAAACCCACACACACACACACCCACACATACACTGCGCGCCCACACACGCACCCACACACACACACACACACACACACGATCAGCCTGGTAAGGCATGACAATCATTAGTGGAGGCCGCTGAGGCTCTGGCCAAGGCCCAGGGCGGCCGCAGCAGCTTGTCTACTGCTGGGAACCGGATTCTTAACCAACCTCAATAGATTGTCACTGTATACCATATATATATAATATAATATAGGTTATTATATATATTAGTATAGTATGTATATAAGCATACAATATAGTATACATGTATATTATAAATATAGGCCACTTGAGCCAAACAGCCACGAAGGGTTAGCCGAAGTGATCCCGACTTAGTGGTGACCCCCGTCGTTTGGCCCTGAGGAATGAAACGAAGCCCTAGTTTCACCGAGAGAACGGCTGGCGCAGGCGCTTCGAGGGAACACCGCATGAGTTGCAAGGATTTCGTTGCTTGAGGATTGAACGGGCTGCTTCGCGAAACAAATGACAAATTACTTGCGGGGCAACCTCCGTATGACTTGTGATTGCCGGCGCCTTATGGGTTTTACACAGAAATTTTTGCTTGTGACATGTGCAGTGTAGGTTAGACTTGCAGATATTGGTGCTTGTGCTTGCAAAGCAGGAGGCCCGACTCAGGACCATCAAGCGTGCTCGTTCTTACTTGTGAAGTGGGAAGCTGAGCTTTTTTTGCCGTTGACATGCATGTTCCCGTGCACTCCCTCCGTTGGTTTCTTCTTATTTTGGGGCGTTCTGGCTGTGTTTTTCTGATCCCGTGCAAATTTACTAATTTTGCAAAAATAGTAAATTTTACTAGTAAATTCTTTGATTTTAGCAAATTTACTAAAATAGTAAATTTACTATTTTTGCAGACTTAGGGTGGCCTCAGGCCAACGACCAGTCTCACGTGTCTGAGACTGCGCCAGCTACTAAGCCTGGGCGTGCCCCAGCCCCTCAGTCCGGCTAAGCAGCTCAGCCCAGGCCGACCTCCTGCTCGCGTCTGGCCCCAAGTCGTCTGACACTGGTCTCAAAGTATGCCAGCCTGAGACTAGCCTCAGGCCCAGTCCCTCAGCCCGCGTGCTGGCGTGTCTTACGTGTCTGCGACTGGCCGCCAGCCCACCACCCAGCCTCAGGCCCAAGTGTGTATGAAACAGGCCTTGCACATCCAGCAACCCGCCCAAGCACAGCTCAGCCCAGCCCGTAGTCCGGCTGCCCGGCAGCCAGCAACCCACCCTGCCCAGCCCAGGCCCCGGCATATCTCAGGCCCCCACCTCCCAGCCCACCAGCAGGCTCAGCCCGTGTCTGAGACTGGTCTCAAGCTGTGCCAGCTGCTAAGCCTGTCTGACGTGCCCCAGCCCCTCAGTCCGGCTGCCCAAGCAGCTCAGCCCAGGCTGGCCAGGCCTTGACCTCCTGCTCGCGTCTGGCCCCAAGTCATCCAGCAGGCGCAGCGTCTCAAAGCTAGACTAGTCTCAGCCTTCCAGCCAGCAACTTGCCACCGCCCAAGTGTGTATGAAACAGGCCTTGCCCATCCAGCAACCCGCCCAAGCACAGCTCAGCCCAGCCCGCCCAGCCCAAGTTCCAGGCGCAACCAGCAGCGTAGTCCGGCTGCCCGGCAGCCAGCAACCCACCCATGGCTTCGCAGCCTCGTGGCTGAGACTATCTTCAGGCCCAGCCCAACCAGCAACCCACTCAGCCCAGCCTGCCCAGCCGAGGCCCGGAGGGCATGCCAGGGTCCCAGCTCCCAGCCCACCAGCAGGCTCAGCCCAGCGTGCCAAGGTCAGGTTTGTCTAACGTGAGTCTCACGTGTCTCAGACTGGTCTCAAGCTACGCCAGCTACCAAGCCTGTCTGACGTGCCCCAGTCCGGCTGCCCAAGCAGCTCAGCCCAGGCTGGCCAGGCCTTGACCTCCTGCTCGTGTCTGGCCCCAAGTCATCCAACAGGCCCAGCCCCTTCAGCGTCTCAAGGTATGCCAGCCTGAGACTAGCCTCAGGCCCAGTCCCTCAGCCCGCCTGCTGGCGTGTCTATGGGGATATTTTTCCGGGGTACTAAAGCAAATGGAGGTTTGTATTCCCACCATGTACCTGTCTTGGGCTGAGCAACCGAGCAAGAAATGTATGTCATGGCAAGCCGCCAGCCACGTGAAATGGAGGTGCCCAAACACCCAAGGTTGGTCTTGGTTGTTCAGTGACACCAATTATTGTTCCCCTTTTTATGGAGGCCAAGCCCCACTAAAAATGCTCATCCCCAGAAAGAGGTCCTTTTTTTTCTCCAAGGGCACTGAGCAGCTGAGATAGTCTTGGTTTTGGATTTCAAACCTTCCGAGCAGGACGGCTTCCGAACATCGAACTAGCACGGGCGAACTGGTGCGGTCACAAGCTTTCAGTAGGATTCGGACCTTCCCAACACTGGATTTCGGTGTTCCTGACCCTTCCCTCAAACTAGGCTGGGCCGAGGCGGGCAACGCGAAGCGTTTACAATAACCCAGAGTTTCTTGTCAACCCCCATTGACTGCCTTGTGGCCAAACAAAGGGACCAAACAAAACACATCCTGACACAGCTCAACGTCCAAGGTTCAAAACCTGCTTTGTTGGGAGCCTGAACTTCGGCACGCAAATCATCTTCGGTTGATTGAAGACGCAACCGCAAGACACGCTGTCCAGTGAATTTTGGCTCTGCCCTGTTCAACAGCCAAGAAGCAACGAGACCGACTTCTGGCTTCCCATTTCGATTCGGGAGTTCCGCTTGGTTCCTATGTTGTGGTTCAGTGGGCACGCCTTGTTGCCAGAATCTGTCCAAAGACAAGCTGATGTCAATAATTTAGGGCAAAGGCAACTGGGAAGACCGAGGCCCTCTTTTGATGCGACGCCAGCGTGCGGAAACGAAGGATCAGGCTCTCCGAGAATTGAACTTCAAAAAAGGGAAGGGTGTGTTTGTCTGAGATGTCTGAGACTTTGTCTTTGCGAGGTTGGCTCGAACAGACAAACGGGAACTCGCCCTCTGCCAGTCTCTAGGAACGGCCAAGCTGCGTAGATCCAAACCAGAGTGAATAGCCTTTTACTGCCTGCACGGTTCTGGCTGGCAGGTGTTTTGCACAAAGGGTCCGTAAAACCTTGGCGCGCGGGAAATGCTCGCTCTCACTGGCTCTCACAAGCCTGTACCATTGAGCCACCGAAACATGGAAGTGGCACAAGGGCTTTTTGCCAACAAGTTCCTGAGCCCCTTAGCATGGAATGAGAAAATCCCTACACGATAACATCCAGAGGAAGGCCGAAGCAAAAGTCCTGTGAGCTGCCCACAAACACCTGGACAAGCAAATCAAACTACAGTTGAAATCCAACTTGCAATCGATCCAGTCACCAAAACAAAGACATTCCAACTTGGAACCGAGCCGGTCACCACCAAAACCCAGATATTTCAACATATTCCAACTTGGAACAGATCCTTTGCGTTGCAAAAAAACAAACAAACCGGCAACACCTCCGAATCGATTGATTCGCTGCCTGGAATAGTCCTCTGGCTGCAGGCTCATCACCTGGGCTCGCGAGTCTGGGGAAGCGTCGGCTCGAAGGTTGGTCGTGGCGACATGGGCATGGCTCAGAAATCAGCCAGGCTTTGGACCGCAGGCGCTTTTTCCTCGTTTCCATTTACGGGTTCCATGTCGGGTGCCTATCCTTGACGCAGCCACAAGCTCGGAACATGCCCAGGTCATTCACTGCTTGCATCCCGCAAGCCCATAAGCTGCTGGAGCAAGGTTGCGGCTGAAAGGCTGGGCGTGGTGCCCAGAATGACACCAGCTTGGGTTACTGCGTAGGTGTTGTCTCAGATACCAACGCTGCTCCATAGCAGACACTTTGCCCCAGGGGCCTGTCACATCAACATCAACGGAAGCATAGCTTCCCAAACCAAACAAGAGTCTGGCAACTCTCCAAGGGGTCGGTCACATGCTCGGCACCGTTGTTTGGCTTGGCACTGAGGAGGGTCCTTGTGCATGGTCAACATGTTAGGTGGTAAGTCTCATCTGTGCAGGCCCCTGCCACGCCATGTCCTTTCGTGTCTCCAAACTCACGCCCATGGGAGGAAGAGCAAAGCATGCCTCGCACCAATTGTGCGCTTTATCTCTCCTCTAGCAAGCAAACACATGGAAACACCACATGACAAGCAAACAGCACTTGACGTTGTCACTAGCATGATGCCTGTATTCAATCTGCAAAGTCACACGAAACCACAGACGGCGGCATGATGGTGAACTTAACTATTAGTGCTCCACTGAAGTTGTTGGTTTTCTTTTGCGCAGCTTCACCCCTCCCGCCGAGTTAGAGGTTACGGATTGTTGCTTCAAACATATCATCCATCTTCAACAGAAACAGCTTTGCCATTAGGTTGCCCTGAGTTGGATGCGCTACTTTGCTTGGACACCGCGAAAGGAGATGGGTCCTTAAAATGTGGCAACTTTGACGTGAAGCTTGAGGAAAACAAGCAGTGAAACTTTGCAGTGAAACTTTGCAGTGACCCAAGCTGACGTGAAGCTTGGCCTTTTTTTAGCTCAGCTTCAGGAAAACGAAAAATCGACCAGCCACAAAACGCATCTTGAGCCGCAGCTTCCATCCCCCGCTCTAACCGACGGTGCCAAGGGGCTCCCCCCGCCAACTCGAAGTCCAGCTGTGCGCCTGGGAGCCTGGATTTGGTCTCATGCGGGTGGATCAAGGTTCCCTCAAACGATCCGGATGCATGAAATACACCTGAACATTGCAACTTGTAAATGGTGGGTTCCAACTTTAGTTTGGTGTTTAACAAGCAACATGTTTCACATGGTTGCAATTTATCTTTAAGGAGCCCTGTTAAAGGCCCCCAGTTTTAAGCATGGGTGACTTTTCCCATTCAGTGTCCAATGGTCGTTGTAAGTAGACACCTTTTGGTCAACCCCACATCTTGAATCGACTGCCCCAAAGCACGCCCTGGACCAGATGATCTGCACCGAAGAGCTGTCAGGGTACCAAGCGGCCCATGAGCCTTGTGGCCGCCCGGTCCTTATTCTCTAAACTTGCCATATGGCCATGGGTCAAAATCCCGTACCCTTAGGGACCATCCCAATCCCCTCTAAAATAGGTTCTAAAATGGGTGGTGCACCTACCCCAAAATGGAACCATTGGTTTTGACCCACGGCCATTTCTGGTTTTGAGAAATCGGCCACAGCCATTTCCATGGAAGCGGTATGGACATCGCGCCAGAAGCCACGGCGATTGACCATCCTGGTTCAAGCACCTCAAATGCCCGGACACAACGTTTCTCTGAGGCTACTCGCGCGACAGTGGAGCTCTGACCTAACACAGAGCTGCCAAATCAACACAATGAACGTAAGAGAAAAGTGTGTCATCCCCTGGGCATGCCATCTCCACGGGGAGAGTCTCTCAAGGGGCCCCTAAAGCTTGAACCACTTGGGCTGCCCAGGCGCTGGGTCGCACCATCTCGTCTTTCATTCAGGGATCGGCCACCTTGCACCCCTTTCCTGTGAATGCTGCATGCATGCATTTCTTGCAGCAACTCCAAAACTCGAAATAAGGGCTCCCCAAGTAAAGGATCTCCCAATTAAACAGACCAACGAGGCGGACCTTCGAATTGTAACCTGCCATCACCCAAAACGTGCAGAAACACCAATTGTCCAACAGTTTTAAGTGACGTTAGCTGCTTTGATGTCTCCTTTTGCACTGAGCCGACGCGCCCGCCCGCCAAGGCGAATGTCCAGCTCCCATCTCTCAGACTCAAAACCTTAGGCCCCATCCCCAATATATGTTTAAGGGGCACCCCTGCTCAAAAATAATTTCAAGCGCAACCGGACGCGGGAAAACCAAGGGCAAACCAAACGAGGATCAAGCGGCACGCCTGCGGCAATCGATGCCCGGCTCGTTGGCCTTCTCCTGAGGCTAACTCTTTGGGTCCCAACCCAAGCTGAGGTCGACAGGGGTGGCTCAGTTTTGGAGTCCAAAGGGAGGTGCCTCCGGGCAGGTAAACAGGGTTCAAAGGTGCTTTTGGACCTTCGAAACAAGTATTCATCACCTTGCGCACATGATGTGCTGGGCACTTACCGGTTCAGAGCATGGTGTCAGCGTGGCCTCAGCCACTACACTGGCAAGCGTGTAGAGTCCATCCCTGCATGGCTGACGCTTCCATGGCTATCATTTGTTTTGCTAGAACAATCCAATCAAATAGAAGTTTATGCTCCAAAATGGGTGATAGAGTAAAATGCTCCAAGTCCCACACGACGGTGCAACGTCCAAAAGTCCGATAGTACTATGTGGCTGAAACATTGGCATGTTGAGCACACATGTTCCAGCAAAAAACGTTTTTTTTCCGAAACTCCAGCAAACGAAACATGCGGCAGAGTCACAACTACAGAGGGAGGCGGAAATTGAGAGCTAGTCCTCCTTCAGTGGGCCATGGGCTTCACCGAATTCCTCACGCAGGTTCGTGGGATTCTACCGAACGGCTCCTCTCCGACTGGTCTCGCCAGCATGCGATGCATGGTTCGCACTGCCTGCAGGCCAACCGCTTTTTCACCAAAGCCCATCCAAAGGAAACGCACCGTGCTCCAGTAGAAACTCACATGGAGCCCAACAACGCGGGCCCCCAAAAGGAGGTTCCAGCAAAAAGGACGGTTGTTCAGGTTCTATATTGATCTGCAGGGGAGTAAAAAGATGCATCAAAAAAGGGAATATATAGATTAATGCATTTATATATATATATATATGTATGGTACCCCCCCCCCCCCCCAAAACCCAGGTATTGTCAGAGAACACTGGTATTTGCAGTGTTTCCTGACAAAAACCTGCATCTACCAGAGCACTCATTTTTCACGCCCTCTTTCTGCATCTGCTAAAACTGGTTATTGTTTCATTTATTATGTTTTCAATATTTCCGTTTTTTTTCCTATTTTTTCGGTTTTCTTACTTTTTGATTTTTTTTAGTTTTTCATTTTTCAGTTTTCTTGAGCATCTGAGCAGAACCGAGCCCACATTTGAAGCTGTCTGGCTCCAGTGCTTCCTTACTCCTCTTCTGCCCCTTGTTCTGCTCGTGTCCTAGCATGGCCAAGGAGCTGGGGGATATGACCTTTGCTGACCTCAAGAACGCATGCGATGCTTACGTCTGCAGAAGCATGCCATCACCCTCCTCATTGCCAGTTGGCATATTCAACTCAATTTTTCCATCGGAGTGGAGGCCAACACTGGCTGGAGCTTGTCGCAACAAGGCACCCTCTTGACTTCAATTTTGGTGACCTGTCCACATCCTACAAGCAGGCGATAACTCAATGTGATCTTTGGCTTCTCCCAGCCCCCTTTGGTGTCAAAACGGAGGCGCCTCGCGACACGAAGCTCCACATGGTCATCCGGGAAGAGTCGGATGGAACATGCACTGTGCTCAAGCACTTTGTCTTCCCGCAAAAGTGCAAAGCCAACTTCCTCAAGACGGTCTTCACCATGCCAGCCACCGCCCTGTGCAAGCAGGCTGCCTGTGAAGAGCTGGAGGATGAGGACCTTGATGCAGGCTTCGACTTCCTGTCCAAACATGGCCCCAGAAGTGGATCTGATCTTCAGCAACTTCGTTGGCAAACAACGGAGTTGCGCAAGAAGGATTCCCCAGTCTTTGGCTGGCCCAGCATCCGACGCTTTGACATCTACCTTCTTCCAGCCCTGGGTGCTCGACATTCTTGAGGCTGGGTGGGATGTCGGCAAGTCTTCCTTGGTACTGTTGGGGGAGAGCGGCGCAGGCAAAAGTCCTTTGGGAAGGAGTGTCCTGATGGCTCAGTGCAGGCGGACCAACAGATCTTTGAATGTCACCATGGCCTTGCTTAAGAGGCCTGCTATGAAGAAGAACAAGACGTGAGATGCTGTGAAGTACACCAGGACAACTTCACAGGCAGCTGGACCTGGCGGGCAGCGCATGGACCGCTTCAAGTGGAAGAGGTCTTTGACTCAGCTGCTACAGCTACCCCCTTGAATGTGGTGAAGATGCTGCGGGCTGACCGCATCCTCCCGAAGTGGGAAGGCAAGGTGTGTCCGCGCTATGAGAAGGGCACCTTGTCTGGGCTGAATGTCGATGCTGGCACAGGCATGCCAAAGCACCTTTGCTCCTATTGGAAATGCCGTGTCTACATCAACCCGCAGCACCTGCGCCCTCTGTTCGTGGATGGCCGTGGCGCTGCTGCACAGTCCTTGCAGACACAGGCAGCCCTCCTCATGCTGAAGCTCAACAACATTTCCAACCCTGTGGTCCATCGTCTTCTTCATGTCAACCACAAAGTGATCGAGGACCTTGACAAGTGGCTGTGTCATGCTCGCAAAACATGGGTGGAGGCAAACGAGAATGACATCGTCTTTGGCAAGGGCCAGAAGTGGGCGGATGTCGAGGCGGGCGAGACAACCTTCGATCGCATGGACCTTGGGAAAGCCCCTGACCCCGCAAACCCGTTTGGGAGCAGTGGTGTGGCCTAGTCTAACGAGGCCACCCCCAAGCAGTGGCCAAGAGAGCTCCCTTGCCTGGCGCCATCAGAAAGGTGGAGTGGACTCCTTTGGCAAAGAAATGGTTGCAGGACAGGAAGGTGATCATGCGCGCCTGGGATGCTCCACGACAAGGTGGTCCATGGGAAGAAGCGGGTCAAAGTCAAGGGCCAATGGAAGTGGAAGACCCCGACCTATGTGAAGCTCGTGAAGAATAAGAACCCGATCACGAAGAAGATGATGATCGTGAAGTTTTTGGACACAGCTGGTTGATCGAGCCTGGAAGTAGTTGAAGGAGAGGTTGACCATCAACCAGAATGCTAAGGTAGGGTCTTCTTTGTTGCGAGCAAAGCTCCGTTCTGCACAGTACCAGTACTGGTATAGGAACCATGATATGTGGGTTGCATCTGGGACACTGTGCGAACCGCTGATGACTTGATGTTTCTCGGGGCGCTTTCTGCATGCGCGTCTGGCAATCAATAAGGCATGCCAAAACACTTTCTTTGGGGGGGGCATAAATATGTCTACACATATATATATATATACACACATAGAGTGCTCTTAGCAAAGCCGGGCTGGGTGGCTTGTGGCAGGCCGTGATTCGCTGAGCATACCAAAGCATGCGCCTAGATGTCACACGGACGGGACTGCATGTGAACTAAACACTGCTCCAATGAAGTAGCAGTCCAGTACGTATCCAAGGATACGTACTGGAGGTTGCTTTTCTTGCAGGAAACCAAGGGCATGTGTCATCCCTATTTCCCTTTGCTTCATGTTGCTTCCCTTGTCCTCAAGTCCCCCTTTCAAGCCAGCCACGGGCACAGTATATAAAGGCCTCCCAGATTCGTTCGCCACCCTAAGGAACCTTGGTTAGGTTGAAGAGCAATACCCAACCACAACCAGTGCCACACTGCATGAAGCAGATACTCTCTTTAGAAACAACGAACCTAGGAGCACAACTCAAAGACAGAGCACATGCAAAGCACAAAGAGTCCAGGTTCCCTGCAGGTCGGCCAATTTAGACAAGTAACGTGGTGGCCACCCACCAGTGGCCTCGATTTAGGGCAATACGCCTGTGTCTGAAGCTGTCTCATAAGTCATCTCTATGTGTTAGGTTTCAACCATTCTGATTCGCCCAGCCCGAAAACAGCCAAATGGCCAATCATGTTGATCATCTGCAAACATCCCAGAGTTCGCCAACTGCAAAACATGGGTCCCGCATGGAATGACCTCTTGCACCGGTGAGCTGGTTGAACCTTCCCTGCTGCGCTCTAATTCTGAACTGCGTGCTCACGCACCAAGCTGCAATCGAGGCTCTAGAATGCCAGAAAGCGTACAGGTTTCTTGTGGCTGTGTCGCAAAAACCCACTCAGGTCTCGCAATGGGATCATATGCTCTTCACAGGTGTCTTGGTCAGAATCCGCGTTTGTGTGTGTGTGTGTATGTGTGTCAGGGTCGCAAATCCCCCGACCTGAACCCTCACCGGCCGATCCTCCTACGTACTGAGCAAGCAGGTCTTGTGCTCCGGTTGTCCCCCTGTGTGCCGCCGAACGTGCTGCTCCTGCCTGCCGCGGCACTCCCAACCTGTGGCTCACACAGTGACGAGTGAGTCACTGATTTGTGTCAAGCAAGCCGGGGTATAACATCATTGACGGGACATGCCAGACAAGACTCGAGACGGTTCTGCTGAAAGAGGAAAACCCAATAAGAACACAGTTGCGTACGACATGTTTGTAAGAGGTCATTCAGGGGAAATCAACATCGATGCCGTCACATAAGTTCACGTCCAGCCGGAAAATGTTGTGTTTCCTTAGCCTCAAACAAGCATAAGCTGCACATTGCCTTTGGAAGTCGGGCATTTCATGGATGCAAGTTTGTTGGCTGGCTACTTTTTGCAATGCATTTTGGAAGAATCCACCATATATACCGCACACACACACCAAACAATCGAACACTTTAGGGGCAACATGGGGCAATCAGAAGACACACCTTCAGAGCAATATGAGAGCAACGGAACCGCTTGTTTTGTCCTCGACAGGCCTCGGTCATCTTGGATTACGAGTTCAACCCGTAACATTGAAGCATCCAAGTCAATTGCTTGGCTTATGATTCTACCGAATACCATGTGATGCTGGGGTATTCGAACAGGATGTTGCGTAACTTGCTTGGGCACCAAAGATGGGCAGACTCAGCAACATTCGTGCCTTTTGCCCACAGCAGCATTCATGATTTGCGGTCTTGATCTTGGCTCCTGCCCTTTCTCAAACTTTTCACCGCTCTTTCATTCACAGGGTATGGTAGCTCCCCTGGTCAGCTTTCAGTTGCACTTGTTCTTGGGGGGTCAGCAAATATACGGGATCCATTTTCTTACCCGTCCTGCAAGGTCCCATCCCCCTAGCACAACTCCCAGAGTAGGTATGCATGGAAATACCATTGCCACTGGCTACAAACGAATACCAAGACTTGCCAAGACTCGTGAAAAGAAGGCGATCCCAAATCCGTCCAACAACAACAAAAACGCGGCTCGCGTTTTGTTTGTCTCACATAGACCCAAGGTCTCCTCACTTTGTCATACTTGTCAGACGCCACTTACAAGTCGCCGCCATAAATTATTTTGTGCCAAACTTGCATATCTCTAAATCCATCGTTTTAAATGGTCGCCTTCGTCTTACGGGGTTTTTGGTCATGCCTGGTAGTCTTCTTAGTCTTCCAGTGGTCTTCCCGTAGTCTTCCAGTAGTCTTTCTGCAGTTTTCCCGTAGTCTTCTCGTCTATCATAATTCCAAGGAGCCAATGTTCACAAAACCAAATATGTGAAGAAGGCTTTGCTTAGGCTTCGTCTGGCCTTCGTCTCAAGACCTGCTCGCACCCTGCAAAAGCGCCAACTGCACAAGAAGGAGCCTTCGGTTTTGATGGTCGCCTTCGCTTTTGGGGATCTTCACCCTATTCCACTCCAATAGATATAATCATATGGCCATGGGGTCAAAGTCCCGTACCCCAACAAAAATAGATTCTAAAATGGGGGGTGCACCTACCCCAAAATGGGATCCCATGGGTTTTGACAACCACAGGCAACTGTTTGAGTGTTTGCGGAGGTGTGGGAAGGCCAATTTAAAGGGCTCAACAAATTTAAGTGGTTATTTCCCAGTGGATTTTTGCGGGCTTGGAGCCATCCGTCCAAGCGAACCATATCCCTTCGAGCCTTTTGAGTCGCATTTCCCGTCCCAGCGCCATCCACGCGAAGACCGAAACCCGAGGCCGCCGGCAGCGATGTCCCCGTGTCCAGGATCGCGCGGCAGGTGCCGTCCTCGCAGTCTTCTAAGACCTCAGGAGCGAGCAGATGGTTTTTTGAAAAATCCGCAGGCGGGCTGAGCTGGCTGGCCGGAAAAAGCTCTCAACTTCTTGCGGGCTTTGCCTAAAAGCTCGATCCGTTTTTCCCCTTCCCCAGCAGCTGTGGAAAATTGGACTTTGTCGATTTTTCCCCCAACCAGGTATGGATTTGGTCGGTCTTGGCCCTGATATCGGCAAAAAGGGGTTGTGTGGGGCTTTCAGAGGGTTCCGGAGAGTTCCAGGGGTTCCGAGGCTGTTGGGGATACCACCTGGGCTTTCTTTTTGGGCTTTGACCCAACTCAACTGGTAAGTCCGAAGCTCCTTGAAAACCATTCAACGGCAAGCCAAAAGGAAACCACACTTTGCATGTGGCACCGGATTCTGGAAATACTCGAGAGTTGCTGGCAGTTGCTGACCCCAGTGATTCCGCCGTCTTGGGAGGGCTTTCCAAGAAAACATACGGGAGGTTGTGCACGCGAATTGGTCGGTTGTTCACAAATTGTATACCTCATTTTCCCCGGGACTTTTTTAGGGGCGGAAGGACATTGGCGCAACGCCCCACACTTAGGAATCCATGGAGACGCCTTCAAACAATTTTGGAGAATTGTCCAACGTAAATCGGTGGCACGATTTGCTGCCAGCACTCCCCTATGCATGGACCTTCTGCAGTTTGAATCAAAGGCTGAATGGACGTGACGTCCACATGTGAACCCCTGGTATGAACCCCTAGTTCATGGGTCCATTAATCATTAAGTATGGGATGTCAGCCTTCTAGAATCCAACATGGGCATGGATCATATGGATCTTGAATCAGGCTTCGACTGCATCCTGCATTCTTGCTTTCGCGCATGAACAGGGATGCCGGCCGATGCGTACAGACAAGCCGTTTTGGGTTGGTTTGGCCAGGCATCAAACCAGAACAGGCTGTGGAAATTGTTCACTCCCGTGATACCAATGGAAGGCCTTGTAATAGACTGATGCTCCTTTGGGAACCAACCCCTTCCCGCAGCCCCGACCAAGAACATAGGTTTGCCTGGAATTAGTCAGGAATTCAGTAGGTTCTTAAATGACTTGCCCTGAAACGTTTCACAAATACCTGTTCATTCTGACCCAAGAAATTCACGACAAGCGCAGCCTGGCTATGGTTCCAATCTTTACCAAGCCTCCGAACGAGTGATAAAACATGACACAGTCCGCGCTCAGTCGTCACATTTGATGCGTCTGTTGCATGCATGAAGATACGGCATAAACGCAAACATCATAAACCGTATGACCTGCGCATGAGTTGATGTTGATATGAGGAACATGTGACAACATTCCGGACAACAATTTGCTCCATTGGGCATCTCTGCCAAAGTAAGAATGCTACCGACAACCAACATAAGTGAAAAATGAAGAAACAAGAACTCAAGCCACGCCTTATTCCTGGATGTCCATCAATTCCTATCAGCGTAGCGCCTCTCGTTCACGAGGGGACTGTGAACAAAACTACGGAATTTGGACAACCACTGGATGCGTCTGAGAATTGGCAGGTCGAATGCCAAACACATATTTAAGGAACTTTATTTCGGAAGTAACTTGTATCATGTCATCAACCTCCCCAAATTTCAGCACTCAAACATCCATTTGGTGTCTCAAAACACTTGCCACTATGCCGCCACAAAATAGGCGCCTGTCATTGGTGGCGATCTTACCAGGCGAAATGAACTAAAACGCTCTTGGTGACATGTACTCAATTGGTCAAACATGACTGACAAATCGTCATGCCTGGGACCCGCAGCCTGATCGCCGACTTTCACGGACTTCAAATTTACCTGGCAAGGACCATGTCCCAACCAAATCAGCGGACTTACAGTACCGAAAGAAAAGGTTTGAGGTGCCTAAGCAGCTTGCCTAAGCATTGCAAGAAAACCGGGGGCACGCATCGTGGTCGAATTGCACGGCAATCCTTGAATCAACTGTACAGTACTTCTATCCAGATTTCGTTGTTGCGGCATGAGGGAAACATCCTAAACAGTGCAATATTCCATAGCATAATCACGGGTACGACGCTCCCACAACCAAGTGAGTTACTATTGAAGGTGGACCATTAGCAAATGGCACATATGTATAATATCAGGGCCACGTAGGTTCACAAATTGAAAATGGAAACTACCCAAGCAAGGGACCGTTGTCATATTGTAAGCTCATTTTATCCCGAGGTAAGCTCGTCCAAATAGTATGTGTCTAAATCGGCGATTCTGCGCACAAGTTGTTGGCCCCATCGCATGCTCACGTCTGCGTTGAGCCACACTTTTGGAACGCTCAACACTCGGGCAACTATGGACCTGAATGACTCCGCCAAACATCAACATCAAACCCAACAAAGGCACCCAAAAGGAAATCCGTTAAACGTGATGATATTGTCATGATGTGCTTGCAATGTTCATCTGTGAGGGAGTAACCCCCAACCCCTCACGCCCTCAACCCCAACCCCCAGGAAGGGAAGAATCTTCATGGGTAAGCTCGATGCTCTTCGCTCGCCAAACAACAGCGCCAAGTCCCACTCAGCCACAAGGGCCAGCTCAATGGTTCGGATCTGCGGAACCAATGCCAGGAACTACGTACAGTAAGTTGGCCAACACCCCGGCATGTGGTGATACGTGGCTAACTTCCTGTAGAATTTCATGGGCCTGGTTTCTTGAAGATCTGGAAAAGGACCTGCTTTGCATAAGGAACAGCACCACGGCATGTTTCCATGGCAGCCTCAACTGAGCGCTTTTCACCTGTGACCATAATGGGTGGCTCGTCTTTTGAGGGCGCCCGGATTGATGGCTTAAGGCTTAAGGAAAGAAGATGAAAACCAGTCGTTAGACAAAAGAAAATAAGCTTGCTGGATCTTACTCGCAGCGATATCCGCGATCCCTTTATCGAATTTTGCAGCAATCAGTTGCGTGGCGTAGGATCTGCTTGCTGGCATGGTGATTCGAGCCCAACACTTCCAGTCAACCATTTCGTTGGAGAGACGATGAGGGCACTGACCTGGCTTCCAGTAAAGGCCTCTTTCGTGCTCTGAATCCTGCCCATCCATGAAGGAAGCTCATGTTGATCAATGTAGGAGGACCCGCCTTCAGGTGAGTTATCAAAGTGTTCCACACAGCTGAAAGAAGCATTGAGAAACAAAATGCTTTGACCATAGCACAGAATTTCCGAGGCCACAAAAGAGCAAACGAGCACCCAAAATCCATTGACGCTTGGTTCTACCGACATGATTGTAAAGGTTCATGAGATTACCCCCTATGGCCAATAGGGGTTTCGGCGCAAATCAACATGACGGTGGCTTGCCGCACTTGGGTATAAGAGGTTCACCCGTTCCACATTAACAGCCTGGAGCAGCAAACAAAAAGTTCGAGCAGTTGGGAGTGGGAGGCTACCTTTTTCGCTCAGCATTCATTTCATGGAACCAACTCTTCTGCACAGAGTTGCATTTCCCGATGACTTCCCCAAACAAAGGAAGATTCAGACGAAAGCTGCACTTGTATACAGGCCGCAGTCAAACCAAGTGGTGCCGAACCAAATGCTGCATCCACAAAATGGAAGCAGGCTGAGGCCCACGGATCAACACACCCTACTCTCACTGTCTGTCATAGTCTTTCAGCAGATGTCGGATGGGGATTTAGGGCTTGGATCTGGTTGGGGGGTTACTCTTTCGCAAATGAACATAGCAAACACATCACAAATTCACCAGTTGATTCCCTTGGAAGTTGGGGCTTGGATCAGGTTCTGCTTGTTGCCCGCGTCTCATTTTGCCCGCGAGCTCGGCTTCTCAGACTGGCCCCACGCCTGCCAGTAGCCGAGCTCAGTCATGGCCACAGGCACCTCAAAGGAAATTCGACCGCACTGACGCGACTCTGGCGAACAACGATTTCCGCACATGACGAAGTTAATTCGGTTTTCCCGTTGGCTTGAAAACCCTGAAAACAGGGTACCCACAACGAAAGACGCATATTGGTGTGCCTTTTGGGTCGAGACCCGAACTGGTGGGCATCATTCACTTGGGGATTCATGTCCCACCAATGACTTCAATGACTTCATTGTTTAACATCATAGCCATATGCTCACTCTTCGTGAAGAGTCAACCATTGCCAGTTAAAACCCTAAACCCTAATAGACTTGTCTGTGTGTGGCATTGGGGTGGGTTGAAGCAGCCGCCTGGGCGCGCCGGCACTTGCACTCTGGTTTGTGAATGGTGAAACGAGAACTTTCGTGAGCTGATGTTCTCAGCCAGCACCAACCAAACCACAGCGCAAACGAAAACATCAAGCAGTTGGGCGGTGGCGTCCGGTGGCTGGCAAATCTAAACCCTTCATCCACTTTTCACAGAATTGGAACCGAATTGACAGGTTGACAGACCACAAAACAACTCGAATCACTCGCAACACACGCTGGACAAGTGTATCACTCTATGACCGACTGCCTGCTGCAAAGCCGTGGCACAGGTTGAATGAGAAATTAGCAAGTTGAGGTATCAATGCAAGCTGTTAGGTATCAAGGCAAGCTGCTAATTGAGGAATATATATATATATATTAGGAGTGTCTCAATGGTCAAAAACATAGGGAAACCTCCAGAATTTGTGGTTCCCCTTTGGTTGTGATATTTAAAGCCAACCAAAAGCGGGACAGCCCTCAAACAAGACACAACATATTTGTTCATAAACCTGACTCTGTGGACCCAACCCGCCCTATTGAACCATGCCCATGCCGTGTCCTCAACATTTGGCTCGGCAACTCGGTCTGTCGCTATAAGCACTGACATGAGCTCAGGCAGGCTCAGAGTTGCGCTTTTTGTTGAAGAGCTCCAGTACAGTCATGGCACGACACGTCTACCTCATCCCAACAATACTTTGGGAAGACAAACGCTAAAGCACCTGTTGTGCGGGAATTGACCCTTCTGAATTCTAGCAGCTACCTGACGTATCTTTCCGGCGAACTGCAGCAAGCCCCGCCGGGCCCCCTAGTGGACATGGGACAATTGGGTGCCACCTGGTCCTTCATGACATCATGAGCGCCGCCTCTTGTCGGATATCGTCAGTTTTTGTCTCAGTGTTGGTGCGTGATAAGAGGATGATGGCCCCCTGGTTCTTCGTTGGTTGTGGGATATTTTTGAAACCAACGGTAGCCATGGTCAACCATTCGAAACAGCATGCGCTGCCCGGCAGGCGTTGTACCCCCCCAGGCTCGTACCCACTGAATCTCCGTGTCTGCAAACTTCTCTTCGTGCCTGCCATGCAACGTGGGCCCAAAGAAAATGACTTTAGCCACTAAGTGACCCCAACCCCCCAAAATGGGAATCCCTTCCCTCACTTCTTGAGTAGATTGGGCAGGAGTCCGAACTGTTTGATTGCCACTGAACTGGTCTATCCAAACAGAAGATAGTAATTCCCAGGGCTCGGGGAGCACACTAAAAGAAAGTCCAGCCAGTTCTCGTCAAGCTTGAATCGGGCGTTATTTGATTCTGAGTTGAATCATTAGAATACACACAAGCTCCCAGCGCAATGGCCGGCTGCTTTGTTTAAACAATGAAACATCTGCCTCTAAGGGAGCCGTCCTTTGAGGCCAACTGCCCTTTTGCCTACAAAGCTCTGAACTAACCACTGCAGCATCGCCCGCCACTGATAAGTGCCGTCGCCTACTGTCGCTCCGTTCTACGGTTGTCTAGAGCGTTGCGAGGGTCGATTGCCGCCCACCCACCTATTTCAGGCCCCTGGTCGAAGTCACCCCAAAGGCCAAGTGGCTGGCTTGGTATTGAAGAAAACAAATATCTGTAAAGGCGACCTGGACTGCCCGAAAGTCCGAAGGTTGAAGAATTGGGCTTGAGTCAAAATACTGGCTTGAACCCCCAAAAATCAGGGGTTTCGGGGTTTGTCCTTCTTGGTTTTCCCTTTTGTTTTCCTTTGAGCCACCCTGAACAGGGTACCGTTCGCCTGAACAAAAACACAAGTCCCTATTTGGAGCAGTGACTGGTGAACGTCAGACCCATAGCGCCCGATTCGAGTCGGCAAGGACACAAGCCGGGATGCCATTAAGCCATCTTTTTCGTGGCCTTCCTCGCAAACTTGAGACAACTGGCTAATTTTAGTGGATGTTGCATGGGCAACTGGAAACTGTGTGGGGCTTTAGGATTTAAGGCCTTGACATAAAGGCCTTAGTCTAGGGGCCCTTTAGGATTTTTAGGGATGGGGCTGGGTTTAAGAGCATTTGTGGTATCTGCATGATTCCGCCAATCAAGTCTGACTGAGCTGGCAGTGTAGATTCTCAAGCATGTACTCCCACTGCTGGGCATACCACAAAGCAACAATGATGCCAGCACACCTCCCGTCCCAAAAACGACACGCACACCAACGCAACCAACCAACCAACTGACCAACCGACCCACCAAACAAACAAGCAAACAAACACACCAATCCGACCGACCGACCGACCGACCGACCGACCGACCCACCCAACAAACAAACAAACAAACTAACTAACTAACAAAAAAACAAACAGACAGACAGACAGACAAACAAACAAACAAACAAACAAACAAACAAACAAACAAACAAACAAACAAACAACCAACACACACAAACACACAAACGCACACACACACACACACACCGGGCCCTCCAAAGGAGATGACACTGTCCACTCCCTCGTTCTGTGCCAGAAAGACCTGCAGTCGAGCTGCTGACTCGATATTCGAATATCAACGTCAAGTAGGGGGTGTCTTTTTTTGGGGGGAACCCCTTGTTGGTGGGTTCAAAAGGAAACCAAAAGGAGAACCACCAGTTTTGGGGATATTTTGAGATCAATGAAAGGGGCGTCCTTGCCGACCAGGTCAATGAATGCACCTTGATGCTCCGCATGCTGTGCCTTCCCTTGCTGCTCCAAACTTGCTACACATTTGTTGAAAGTGTGCAAAAAAGGCTGCCCAGGTGTGAAGCATGTCTCAGTTGTCAAGGGTAGGTGAAAACTATCAAGACAGACGCAAGCATAGCCATTAGGGCTAGTACTCCGTCATGTTCTGCAGAAATCCACGTGTCACGTACCAAAGGTGGCTTTCCATGGAACGGAAATGCCCTGCGACCTGCGACCGTCCAAACATCCTATTGACTGTTTGGGGAGGGCACTCAGCTCGGCAGGAGACCTGGCAGCCTGCGGGCCATGAGTCATGGCCATGTCAGGTGTGCGGTCTCAACCCAACTCGCTGCACATGCCCTGCACAAACAAGCACTCCGTCCCCAATGACCGTGATGCTGGGGTGAGCCAAAGTCATAGTGCCAATCACTTGGCTTTGCGAGACTGGGCAATCAACCTGATCCCCCGTCCTAGCACCGAAGGAGAATGATCTGGGAAGGGAAGACGCCCAAACAGTCCAAAGCTTCCCATCCGCGAAGTACCAGAACCCGGCTCATGGAGCACTCTCTTACAATTGAACATGGGCTGCGAGGCATATGGCCCGTTTCACCCCAAGGCCACTTCTAACATCTATCCTGGAGAAAAGCACACAGAACATCACGCACACATGACCGGCAATGCCCAACATCAAGTCCCTTTGGGGGACCTTGGACTCATGTCCAGTTTTTACAGCCCTTCCCTTCAAACCGAGCTTCCACAGGGTAACCTCAAGAAACTCACTGGCTGAGTGGATGGCCCCAAAAAAGTCCAAACTTTACATTTACCGCTTAAATGCTCTTCCCAAAGAGTTTAAAGTTCATGAACTCAGGAAGTGAGTTGAAAAGCACCCATGTAAAACATGCGCATCGACACAACACGAAGCACACGGCCCTGAGAGGGCCGAGGCAGACGCCTCTGAGGCCTGGGCAGAGAAGCGGGGCTCCATGCGGGGGTTCTGCCGCAGCATCTGCCCGAAGAAGCTGAACTCGGGGCCTGGCGCCGGGAGGCTCGAAGCTCGGGAAGCTCGGGTTCTGGGGATACTTTGGTTTTTTGGGTGGGGATTTGAGTGGTTTTTGGGGGGTCAAAGGGAAACCGGCCAGTGAAAAAGACACCAGGAATGCGGAGAACATGTCCGGTTTGGAAGGTCGGTGACAAACTTATAAGGGCCGGTTTCAGTATTTCCTATCTGGGTATGGGAGATACCCAAATAGGAAGCCTTTCACAGGAAGCCTCCCATCATCACTCTCATACACCTCCCACGGCCCTTCCAGATTGGCACTATGAACCGATCTGCCGACAGGAGGCCGCCTACTCTGCAGCACCCCCAAACCAAGCCACCAAGGCTAGGCAATGAAGCCCCTGCGGGCACCGTTGTGCACAAATGCGCCTTTCGGTGAGATACCAAGGTGGTTCATTCCCATCACCAGGACTACTTTCGCATTAAGTAGGGATTCCCAGAGAATGTAAAATCATTCGGAAAAGGAATCCCAACAGCCACCCCTTCCCCCCCTCCAGTGGCCATGGGTGTAACAAGGGCACCTGTTCAATGGCGCTTGCTCCTTTTTCCGGACGAAACCCAAAAGCGCGCGCACGTTTTGTTCTTCTAGAAGCACCCCACCCCCTCCCCCATGCCCCCCCCCCCCAAAAAAAAAAATGGGCGAAGCCGGCAGCTGGGGGTGCTCCCCTCAAGACCAGGCCAGCGTCGCTGAGGGCCAGGGTCTCCAAGCCCAGCCCCAGGACTCCATCGAAGTCGAAGTGGCTGAAGGGGTCCTGCGGATGCGTTTGGAACGCAGACAAAGGGTTCACCCCACAAACGAGCAGGGTGGGGTAGCGGGGGCGGGGGGGGGGACATCAAACCGTATCAAACGCTTGGGGCAGAGGTGTAAGCAAGGCATAACTGCAGGGACTGGGTTGTTGCTCCATGCCCAGTTTCAAGCTGACCCGACTGCGATCAGCCTATTGCAAATGCAGGTGCGAGAAAACTGCACAAGGTTCGGATGGATCGAAGCGGGCGGTGGGATCCCAAATCACTTGCCTTCAACGGTGTCATGCTTGAGATGAGCCCACCAACGTAAACTCACAGCCTGGACTCCAGCTGACAGACCCACCAAAAACAATCCTTCAGCCATGTGATGCTCTTATGCGTCCAAACAGTGTAAACCCATTGTGAACAAACATGCTTCGGCCAAAACACTAAACAACTCCTTTGGTTTCGCTGCAAAGGACAGTTCAGGGTCTGTCTGCTCAGGTCGCCCAACTCCAAGAGACCAAGACATACGTACCACAAGCTCAGTGACATTCACCGCCCTCACCAGCCTCTGTCATCCTGGATGCGAGCACCTAAGCAGGGACAGGGCACTTAGTAAGTGGTTAGTCACCATGCTTCTTACCCACTTGGGAGACTTATAACGATGGCAAGGGGGTTATAAACCATGGCTACTAACCACTACAAAGTGCCCTGCCCCTTTACGTACCTAAGTGGATGCCTAAGTGAATTAATTCAGGCAACTTTGAACCCCAACCCAGATCGATGGCGCATGGAGTGATACTGGTGCTCATAAACGCGAACTGTGAGCTGGATTGTACACGTTCTGAGATCTCATCTAGGCGTATATCCACTCAACATACAACATATATTAATCCGGTAGGGCCGGTAGGGGCTCAGATGCACAAACTAGTTAGTGGTGTGGGGTCGGCAAGCCCTTCTTCGCCGACAGCATACAAACGCCTACTGTGTTGATATCGTCCATTTCAGACTTCTACTCGGGGTCCAAAGTCGGCTTGACGCATTCCATGCTTTGCGGTCTCCCGGTTCTGTGGCATCTCTTGAGAATCACCTTCGAAGGCAACTTGGGCCGCCTATATCTGCCGACCTGCAAAAAAGCACACCTTGGAAGGGGCACAGCTGGGCTTTCGATCCGAAGTTTGCTAGAAGATCGCTAGTCGAAGACCTAGGCTCTTCTGTACGGAAATTGTCCGGACCTTGTCTTTTCTACGGCTTTTCCATGAATCCGAAGGTGGCGTGAGACACCCTGGGCATGGGAATTTGCTTAGTCTGCTGGGCAGCTTCGCAGACGCCGGGATCGTGGCTTGTATACGGAGCCAGGCGGTCCGGGGCGGAGTGGGGGGCCGTGGTGAGAAATCTTTGCTAAACTGGAACTGCCAAGATGCAACTGCACGCTAGTCTACAGTAACCACCTCGGTCCAAATGCTTGTAGAGTGGAAAGGCTCCAATGCCAAACAAATGCCAATCCAACGTTCTCAACGAGGCCCGTTGGCCGCACTGGTGCCGATTGAATGTAAACATCGGCACGTGCGACCTACAAATTGTGCTCAGGGTCAACAAAAAATTGCGCGTCGCAAACCGGTACCCAAAAACAAGTTCTCCCCCAACCTGCCCGAGTAGCGTCATTCAAACACCTGCACATCCTTCCATTTGCTGCCAACGTACAGGTGATGGAACAAGGAAGTGCATTTCTAAATACGGTTACTTTTGATGGTTCCTAAGTGCCAGAAAAATGCCATGGAACAGGATTTTGACCGGGGTGAGCTCCGGTCAAATCAAGCCATACTTCCTACTCACGGTAAGTGACACCTCTGTACTACTGTTAAGTTGATGAAACCTGTCCCAAGGTTGTCATTTCCATTAAATATACCGTCAATCAAACTCAATCTTGACTGTAGTGCAATTTTAGCCCACTGGCGCCTAAAGGGACCTCTCACAATAGGTAGATTAACGCTGCTTCCCCTAAAAATATGGATTCAAAGACAACAACAATCAGCTAATCCCCCCTTCGAAAGCATCCCACATCACGTCCCTCTAGGCGTCTCTGGCCACGCGAAGGTTGACGCAGCCTTCGGCCGAGCCTGCCGAGCCAAGCGAGCCAAGCGAGCCGCGAGGGAGCCGGGAGCCGGGAGCCGGGAGGGGGAGAGATGCAAATCCCGCGGCCAAAAGAACGGACACTTTCCTGAGCGCACAAGATATTGGACACTAGGAAATTAAGCACAGTGAGTATTTTCCTTGGGCACCGACAGTTATTTTGTCTGGTTTGCTTGAGTCATTGCCTTCCCGTCCTTCTTCCGAGCTGTGCCCTCCCCAAGGGAACTCACCGGCAACTAACCGATTTACCATTTGAGGGGCCCACCGTTGACACGCAAGCACCCAGCCAACTCACTGTACCTGGTCATGCTGGGAAGCATGAAGAATGCACCTGTTGGTCCAGTCCTCGACGTGAAACAAATCTCAGATGGATCGAGTTTCTAAAACCACACGCGACTATCCAACAATTGCGCTCAGGACTGCTAAGATCGTGCTTGGGCGGGGTTGAGCTGCATATTATATATATATATACATATATATATATATACATATATATATATTTCGCCTGAGCAAGTCACTGCAAGAGAGGAGAGCACGAAACAGCAGAAACTGCTCTTAGTCATGGAACCAAAGTCCAACAAAGCCCCTCCAAACTGAACACAATGCACCAAGTGACCCAACACCAGACTTACCCACAGGAGAATGGCTGTGCGGCCTCAACCTCCTAGCTATGTCACATGATGCAGTCTACCCACCTGAAGCATCCTAATGTCAGCTTCCCCCCTAGTTGGTGGCTTGGCTTGGTGGTTTGGATGTTTGGGGGGTATAAGTTCCTCATTTGGCTTCAAAAGCTGAGGTTCAAATCCCCAAACCACCAATCCAAACCACCAAGGGGCCTGACAATGGCTAAAGGCACTGTCCCTCAATTCCACTTCCCTGAACTGGTTTTCATTTTGGCTCACTTCGCTTTCCTTCGGCTCTTGCTGAAACAATCGCCAAGAGGGTCACACGCGACCATCCAACAATTGCGCTCAGGACTGCTAAGATCGTGTTTTGGCGGGGTAACACCCTCCCAAAAGAAAGAAGGCAACTCTGCGGTGAGTCCTGCGATATTCCGTCGGAACCGACTTCGCCTGACCCCTGAAGGTTGGAAAGGGCGCCTAGGCACCTGCGCTGAGGGAGCCTTCAGAGGTATGAACACATGGGTGGCCCGTCTTTGTTGGAGGGTAGCTTTCTTGGGATCGGTTTCAAAAGGGGCACCAAAGGAAGAACACATCTTGGAGTTTTGGAGGTGGAGGCTGGAGGGAACCCCCTTAAACAAAAACACACCCACATGGGGAAATGTGAAAGCACCGACCTCGTTTGAGAATTTGTTCCCCGATTGAAATGGACAACACATAGCCACCGTCAGAGATACCCCCCGACCGCTCTTCGGCGCGTCGGTCGGGGCACGCGGGCACGCCTGCGCCCCTTGACATGCAGACATCCTGCGACTGTGACCATCGCATGTGGGAGGTTGATCAAAAAGATCCTTTACATTGGCTGACCACTGATAAAACCATGAAGAAGACAATCTTTCCCACTAGATGGAAAAAGTTGGCCATGGTCATTTGGGGGCCAGGAATATTGTTCAACCCGCATATGTCCTCCCCAGTAGACCAACAATATTACCAGCTACCACTCAACACGTGCAAAGAAAGAACAAACCACAACTGATCATGTTGGGTGCGTCTTGTTCAGCGTGACTTACACGCAAACACACACTTCTTCTGAACAGATCGGGCTCGAGATTCGAGATGCACCTGCCAAGTGTTTTCCCATCATTCCGTTTACTTTGACTTGTCTTCACCGCCGATAGGAGCAAGCATTATCACCAACAAGCTTTCTTTGCTTCCACCGAAGCTGGACGGTGCACCATGTATTATGGGGTGTAGCGTGTATTGAAGGGAAAACAAAAGGAAGCCAACCATCTTGAGGATAGCCTGGGAGCTTCTCGAAATGGTGGACCTCCATTGGAATTTCAAGGGAACCCCACAGGCCAGTTTAGGGGACCTTCTTTCTAAACTTGTTGTTTGTCAATTCTTTGAGTTGCCGGTGCCCTCAAAGGCTCCATGCACTGGCCTTGCCTGAAAGGCCAACCTATTTCAGTAGACAATTCTTGGCAGGCCAGGCAGTACACAAGCATCCTTCCACTTTGAAGCGAGTTGCGAAAAGCGGCGAACTCGGAACTCCTCGCTCACGAACTCCCCCTGCACTTCTCCAGTGCCGAAGGCGATGGCAACCTGGCGATCAGATGGACCTGGGAAAACACAACATCCATCCCTGGAGTCTCCATGACCCGAAGTAAAAATAGGTCCATGACCCCATTCGGGTAATGACCCCATTTTTAAAGGGTCATGGAGACTCTAGGTCGGCACCAGATCCACGAAATCCAAACGAATCGATCGATTTGCAGCAGCTGGGATGGACGAAATTCGACTTGAATACTGGATTAACCATCTACCAACTGCAGAGTTTTAAGAAAGACATCCACGTTAAGAATGCCACCCCATGAACATCCATAAACCACATTATTAACTGGTGCAGTAGTGCAGAATATTAAAGGAAGCCATAGGAAGGTCATTACCCATTCTGAATTAATGGTCCAACACAATCCTTGATGCGCCCTGATTCACTGATGGTCCTTGATGGACCTTGATCCCCCCCCCCCCCCCTCGCGCTTCCATTTAGACTCAAATTTGCAGAATCGTCATTTAAACAGCTCTTTGAGATTCAAAGCCACATCAACTTTAGTAGACATGTTCTCCCCTTTTGCCTGTTGGATTGCATGTAAACTCTACTTTAATGAAGTCTAAGCTCAAATTTGGAAAGGTGTTTCTCCCAAGTTTATATTTCCATTGAAACTCTTGTTTAAGCTGAACACGAACCCATGTCCTTGCAAAACGCCATTTGAATCTTGCATCACATGCTATTCAACAGTCGAATATTGCCAGGCATGCCTGGTTAAAAGGCTGCTTGAAATTGACATCCCATTTAAGTTTGACATTGATCCACTTCTTTATATTCGTCTGTGTACATTCTAATCAAACTCCACTTCAATTCACATTTGGATTATCAGAATTGCTGTTTGGAATTGACATACAACTTAATTAGAAACGTGTGCCATGACTTGTTGCATTTCCAGATACAGTGTAAATAAACCATACTATGTGATTCTACAAAACTTCTACATCAGTTCCATCAAAGCGACTTGGACAGCGTGTCTTGTCCAAATTATGTGTTGCCTATATTGAACAAAAATACTGTTTTCATTTGTCATCAGCATCTATTGAAAATAGTATAGCGAAGATGAGCCCAGTGTAAATGCCAAGTCAAAATCAGAACAAATTCAACTTGATTAACCGATGCTATGTCCTTGAATATTGTGAATAACAAATCATTTGGAGAGAATGATTGTTGAAACCGCTCGGTCAAACTGGAACCAGATTCAATTTCAAAAGGGCGCATTTCCCGTACCTAATCTCATTGAGCAACCATCAGCGTCTTTATGTGGCTGTGGGTCAAAACCAATGGTATCATTTTGGGGTAAGTGCACCACCCATTCTAGTCTAGTTTAGTGGGGATTGGGATGTTCACTGGGGGTACGATTTGGTTTTTGACCCATGGCCAATGTCTCTAGACTCCAACTCCTTCGCCTAATATAGCCGCCTTCGACTTAGAGGCGATTGGCCGCATCAGCCCGCTCCTCTTTTCACGGGCTCATGTCTCACTCTTGGCGCCTGGTTCTTTGAAAGCCTTTTCTAGCGAATGACAAAACTCGGGGTTGCGTCTCATCTATCTGATGCAAAAAGGAGCCTATGTTTGCAAGGCCGATGTTTGGTGGAAACAAGGCTCTGTTTGGGCTTGTCTCGACACCTGCTCGCACCCTGCAAAAGCTGCCAAATGCTCCCTCCATGATGAGGAGCCTTCGATGTTCATAGTCGGCTTCGTTTTTGGGGAGTGTTACCCGCTCATATGTCCCTTATACATGTTTAGAGGTAGCTCATTTGATTTTTTAACTAAGCGCGAACCGAGCCAAGCTAATACCAGGAAAGTGGTTCCGAAAACTTGCATCTACGCCTTAGAACAAACTGCAGTACATTGCCATACTTGTCAGTTGTTTATCCGGTCATTCTTCCCCCCCCAAAAAGAAAGAAAGAAGAAAAAGTCAAACTACTGAGCACTGCATGTCATTTGTCCCCCTCAAAAGAAAACGGTTCAAACTGGACACTTCCTGAGCCAAGCAAGAAGGGCCTCCATATTGAAGATAAACTTCAAGGTTGTTGCAAAAACCTGAAATGCCTTCTTGGCGGATCCAATATTGCACCACAAAAATGGTTTAGGGAATCTTGGATCCTGATGATCCACCCAAAGAACAAGTCGAAAGTTGTCCAACGCATGTGCAGTTGCTTCTGCATGTGGAGGCCATTTTTGTTCGATCCAGAATGCGCCCAGTTTGACGCTCATGCTTGAGGGGTCAAAAATCGCAGAAACAATGCTGAACAGCACCGTAATTTTTAGTAGATGTAGTAATATAAATATGCAGCATAGGTTAGTTACCCCCCCCTCGTATCCCCCACCTCAAAAGTGATTTTGAGTGGCTTCGGGTCCAAAAATGAAGAAGCACATTCATTTTGAATCTTGAGCTTAGTAGGGCTTAGTAGGAAATGTATATTTGTAGATCTATGTGTATGAAACAAGTGTTACGATCGATTGCCTGCTTGTCGTGTTCGTTACCTTTGTACTCGAAAGTATCTCAACTCTACCGCAAGCCCAAAGTCCTCCTGACGGATGGCCACTTTGACCATCCCTCAAGATTGTCACCATCGTGGGTGGCCTCTTAACCCACCGTGCCTCCATCAACTTCGGGCCAAAATCAATCGAATTGAAGGAACTGTATGGCCAAGAGCAACATGAGGCCTAGTTGGCAAGGAATTTTGTCGGCAGATTAACACTAGCATAGATTGCTCGTTCACAGGTTTAGTGAATCCACTCCCAACATTAGATACTCTGCGTGGCTTTCCTCACATGCTGATGGTCCATGGGGGGATCCGAACAAAGGCTTCCGGCTTCCCGCGTGCGTCCAGATTTGTCTGCCTGATCCCTCTCGACGGCATCGGCGCGAAGCTTGGTGCCATCGTACTCGATGTCCACCTCAGCAAGCCGAGCAAAGGCGCCGTTCAACCTGGTCCTTCTTTATTCTGTCATGCTGGCCTGTTGCCCAATGGTCTGGAAAGAAAACCCATCATGAAATTGAGCCCCAGTTTGCTTGTCTTGCTCAACAGCCCGAGGCTGTGTTTGCCAACATGCATGGCAGTATGGCAGTTGGCAGTTGTCCAAGTGTGCATAGGTCTGCACAAAGTGCAAGCACATGTACTTGCATCTGCCATCACCAGTAATTAGAATCCGTGTGACATGACAACACCGCACCGTTGTTTGTGGACAACTGAACAAGATTCTTGGGTCTAGTGCCTGTTGCTTTTTCAGACACCAAACGTAAACAAACCAAACCACCAACCAACCAAGCAACCCAACGCAACCCAGCGCAACGCAACCCAACCAACCAAACCAGCCAACCCACCAACCAAATCAGCGAGACCAACCAACCAAACCAAATCAGCAAGACCAACCAAACCAAATCAGCAAGACCAACCGAACCAAACCAAATCAGCAAGACCAACCAAACCCAATCAGCAAGACCAACCGAACCAAACCAAACCAACCAAACCAACCCAACAGGCAAACTAAACAAACCAACAAACAAACAACAAAAACAATCAAACAACCAAACACACCAACAGCCAAACAACCAAACCAAATGCAACGCAACCCAACCCAACCAACCCAACCAACCCAACCAACCCAACCAACCAAACCAGCAAGACCAACCAAACCAACAACGTCAGCCAACTAACAAACAACCAACAACCAAACAAACAAACAACCAAACAACAAAAAATCCAAACAACCAAACCCAACCAAACCAATCCAGCAGCCAAGCCAAGCACACAGCAAAAACAACCAAACAACCAAACAACCAACCAACCAACCAACCAAACAAACAAACAAACAAACAAACAAACAAACAAACAAGCCGCGGCTACCTTTCTGCCAGTCCAAACATACGCAAAATGGCAAGAGGCACCCAGAAAGAGGTCGTCACATCGGAGCCAAGAAAACACCAGTAGCCAACCGCGGGCGGCTGAGCGCGTCCTCAAAGGCCAACTGCTCCACATGTGGACTAGGTTGCCCAAAAGAACGCGACATAAACATTTTGTATGCGCAGACCCAGCTGAGAATGCCTCCGCCACAGGCAATTCTTTGAGGGTCCTTTTGAGAAGCTTGGTCTCCAAGCTAAAGATTTCTGCAAGGCACTCACACATGCGCTAGTTAGCTTTGCAAACCTCTTGCGAGATGGTGAAATGCGGTGTCATGAAAGCTTCATGGGCAGCCGTTCGCCAAATGGCAATGCTGTGGGTGGTTGAGACTTGAGACCGGCTGATGGGTGCGTCACTGAGTCACACGGTTTCGCTGACCTCGGCTTCGTGCTCCGAAGTCCTAGGCTCCCGGGCGGCCGAGTGGGAGGAGCTGCGGTTGTAGCGCTGGTGCTTCAGGCACGCCGGACTGGCGCCTTGGAGACACCCCAGTGGCAAAAGGAGGGTCAAAGAACGGCCTCCCAAGGGGAAATATGACTTGCTGCTGCGATAGGCTGTGAATGAGAAATGGAACGACCGTCATACACCATCCAACAGGTGGTTTCCTTTCAGGGGAGCCCTGGGTTCATTCCCACATTCCCTACTGAGCAGCAAGATGAGAAGATCGCATTTGAAGACTTACTTGACCATGGCTGCTCGCTTGTCTTTGCGCAGTGATCTCTCCAGTGTTTGGCCGAGTGGCCTGAGTAGAGTCCATGGTTGAAGGTCGACCCAGGCAAAAAAGACTCATCCAAGGGCCCTCAGGAGCATGGAATCCCAACAGCAGGCGTGCTGGTTTTATGTTGAAAAGTCATCACGAAATGGAAGGAGCCGATGCCGGGCCACTCATGTTCAACCAAACTGACCTAGGACACCGACAAATGCACCTCCCGCGGCTAGGTCGCCGGCAACCAGTTGAGGGTAAGATCAGATGGCCAGACCTCGGGTGTGATGCTCGTGCAAGGCGTGAGCCATGAATAGGGTCCGCCAAAAGCCACCAAGGGCACGCAATCGAGCGAGCGAGAGAGCGAGCAAGGAAGCAAGAAAGCCAGGGGGCCAGGCCAGGAAGCCAGGAAGCAATCAAGGAAGGCAGAAAGGAAGCAAGCCAGGCAGGCAGGCAAGCAAGAAAGCAAGCTGGCAAGCATGCAAGCGAGAGAGAAAGCAGGCGAGCAAGAATGTACGCAAGCTAGAAAGCAGGCGAGCGAGCAAAACAGGAAGCATGCACGGAGCAATCAAACACACATCATTAGTCGTTCAAAATCAACAGCATGTTGGGCCTCACGCGTCACGAAACAAACATGATGGATATTGAATTGGTCAAACAAGCAGTTGGATGATGTTTGATGATTTGCCTTCACCACGTTCCGCTTGCAACCGTTCGCCTGGCCGATTTGGAAATCTGTGCGCTTGCGCTTGCTGCCGCTGATTGGGCCATTCCCATTCCCACATTGTACTGTCATCACTCCCCTAAAAGCTTACATGCCCCAACAACGGCCCTCCAAAAAAATCCGGCACACATGGATTCCAGGCAAACGCCATGCCTGAACTCATGTAAAATCCAAAGAGACCTTCCCTGCGATCGCGCGAGGGAACTAGGCCACCGGCCCTGTGTCGAAAACCACCGTGAAGGTTTGTGAAGGCGTGCCCACGTGCACCTGGCGCTGCTCTCTGCGACTCTCAAGCGTGCTATGATGTTGACCCAGGCTTCATAAACCCGTTCCATTAGGGGGGTGTTCCCTCCAAAAGTGGTCTGAATCCCCACTCAACCCCCCGATCAAAATCAACCAGGGGTTTATTAATCCGGGGTTGACACTACATCGTTCAAGGTTGACATTGATCAAGTGGTGCCTCACTACCGTGTGGGGCGACAAGACTGTAGACAAATGGGGAGGGTGAACAAGCAAGTGCCCCCTTGGAGGACCTACTTCCAAAAGTTTCGTCGCCTCTACGAGGTCATGAAGGGTCCCTCAGCGGGATGATTCCCCGTGCCATGGGATACAATCGTCAGGTCACCTTCAGAAGCGCCCGGACCCGTTGTTGAGACTCAGTGCTTTCATTGGACATGGGACCACACATGTTGGCAAAAGCATATATGTGTGCGGTACCCTGTTTCATTGGCTTGAAAGGGAAACCAAAAGGAAAGTCACAACTCGGGGGCTCCCTCTATTTCGAGACAGACCCAAAGGTTTGCCAACAGCTCACCATGCAACATGGCTGTGCCGCGGCTCGTCTGGGTCAACGAAATGCACTTTACGAGGTCCACAGACTTGCCTTAGCCTGGGTGCAAACCCCAACTGGCCAAAGCACTGGAACCACATGTCCGATTCAAGCAGCACTTCTCGAACTCCGAGACCTAGCTTAACATCATGAGCTGCCCATGTAAGAAAGCATCACCACACCAAAAGGAAGCTCCCCGTTAAGATGTTTCCACTCGCCCAAAGGGGAAGGAAACAAAAACGGGATCCTTCCTCAGCTTCTTTGGAGCAAATGCCTCGCCGAAGTAGGCGGTCTTGTATGCAATGGTCTTCCCATCCTTCTGCACCTCGGAACGCGAGCGATGCAAAGTGAAGAATCTAGGTGGGTCTGTGCATTGTTGAGGCTACCCTTTGTTGGTCGGCTTTGAAGGAAACCAAAAGGGAAGCCAACTATATGTTGGGGTCCCCTGTTAAGACACACCCTTATATTGATCGGGGGCCCACAAACTGGTTGGTGTTCAATTCAGTTGCCCTGGACATCAAAATCCCCTCGGCCTCGGAGACATGGCTGGGTGTTTTTGTTGGTTCCCTTGAAACCCTACCAAAAAAGGTATGGAAACCCCAAGAAGGGGTATGTGCAAGGTGGGTGGGTACTTAAGAACCCTAGGTATTTTTTGGTTCTTTATATAGGGTTCCTTGAGGAACCCCCCTTTTCCTTGGACCATGGCTTGCTGGTGTCCTGTTCGAAGTTCTTTTGGGCCACTTGGTCCGGGGACAAGCTATGGGCCAAGAAACCCCAACCCTTGGAAGGTCGATGATATTGAACTATTGGCACTTGTCCAATAGATTTGGGTCTGTGTTTTTTTGAGGGTACCCTGTTCAAGTTGTTTTAAGTGGAAACCAAAAGCAAAACATTCATTTTGAGACAACCCCATATTATATAAAGTGAAGAAGTATGGCAAAAGGAGAATCGCCTTGTCATGGCGCCAACCTTGATTTCTATCGCGCATGAACTCGTTGCCTCAAGTAGCATCCTCAAGCCGAAACAAAGGCAATCAAGTTCACAAAGGCAATCAATTGTAAACACTGCGAAGCTTCGGACTTGGTACTTAAGCAGGTAAACAAATTATTGCAAATTCATCTGCGTTCTTGGTGCACATCAACTGTCAAGCAAGTCGAAGCCCATTTAGCAGGACACGAGCAGACATGGGGCCAACATACACTGGCACTTTCAGTGCAGAACAGCCTCCGTACATTTCTGAACAGGTTGACATGTGCGCCACCCATTGGGAATACACGGCATGTGGCTGGACAAAAGCCATGCAAATCGATCGGCACCAGTTGGGATGGACGAAGCCCTATGAATAACTCTAGGGGAAGCCTCCCCATTGATTCCCGGGATCCATGGTTTCAGGTAACCATGAAAACCCAGGTGGGAAACAGCGATCGCTTTTGAAAAGAACGATGGTCGAAAGGAATGCTTGGAATCAACCCCTAGAAAACCACCGTTCAGAAACCCTGGTTTCTGAGTTGATCCCCCAACCTAAATACCGCAGCAAACGTTCTGGTTTCATTCCCATGGTTTCATTTCGTGCAAACAAATTCTGAAGCCATCCATGGCGTGACGCGTCCTAACCGCTGACCGAATCCCGAGATCCTGTCCGGCACGTATTGCTTCTTCAGCGGAATGCTATAGATGGATGGTGCCTGACAGTCGGAAGGCCGCTACAAGCAAAAGGGCTGCTGTTGAACATAGTAGAATATCACAGCATGCCTGGCGTCCGCTAAGTAGCTGCATTGATGTTCCACAAATTGTTGGCAATCCAATTGTTATTTCTTGATACAATGTGCCTGACAAATTTATACATACTTGCAAAGACAAACACATGCAAGGAAAGACCGTGATTTTAGTTGTGTCTCAATTGTCGAGTCTATCAAGTTGTTTGATAGTAATGCGTGGACACAGTTTTTACCTTCCAAAAACCATTGCTTCATACAAACACATGCCACGGACAGGCACAATCTGCTCCCCGCTGCTGCCTAGCGTCGAGCATGTGTGAGCCATCGTCCTAGTACATCTGTTGACAAATCCGCTGGTTTCCCAAAGGATTCCTTTGAAGCCATCTCTATGATGTATGACTGTCCAACAAATACGTAAGCTGACAGCCAAACCAGCTGGTTTCAGCTTCCCGATCTGCTTTGCTTCAGCCCCAGCACTTGGCAGGGTTAGATCTCGTCAACTTTATCCTTGTTTTCAAACACTGCGCAGGGCCATAAATGTCGAACACACAACGACATCCCGTGCAGGACGCTGGCAAGCTCGTGTAGGCATCCAAACTTACCCCCCTAGAGAGCGAGTCATAACCAGGCCTTCTATTGCACAACTGAATCCTGGGTAAGCCTCAAACTGGCAAAGCAAACCCCTGAACATGAGTCCAAAGGACCATTTCACTCGAGTAGCTACGGTTCAGACGCTATTTCTCATGGCAGCTTGACTGTGTCTGCAGATTGCAGGCTCCAGGACTTGGTATGCCATGTATGCCCTGCCAGACTCAAAACCTGTGGGAAATCTGCCATGCAATCACAAGAACCCTCCGCTTAGGTCATAACACCTGGGATCTGTCTTCACCTTAGACACCTGCAGACGCGTGGAATCGCTTGTGGGCCACCAATCGCCCAAGTTTGAGGGACAACCAATCGCCTCTCATTCTGGAGATCCTTGCCAGCAAGCCAGGAGGAAGTGGTTGGTTTTTGCAAATGTGCCAAGAAATCATGGTTGAGCAGAATGACACCAACAGGAAAAAACATACAAAATGGGTGAGCCAACCCCTAGACCCTTACAAAACTGGCAGCCCACTTTGACCGCACCGCCGGGATTCGGAGTCGCGCCTTTGCTGCAAACGGGTTCGACAGCCAGGCCTCGGTGCTATATCTGATTTCCTTCGGGGGCCAAGAGACTCCGTGGGAACAAACCATGTCTTTTCTGACATCCATCAAGAGCAGATTGCATTGTATCTCTGTCATATGTTGATGCGCCGATTCGACAAGCATTACTTACATGTTCATGTGTGCAAGGGTCAAATGCTCAGCTGTCTGCTGAGCTTAAGCAATCTGAAACTCATGTGCCGGCAAGTCGCGTGAGAAGTCTGGAGTAGGAGAAAGCAGCCTGGTCGCTGCAGCGTCTTGACATCACAATCGAGCTGTTTTCGTGCCGCTGCAAACACAGGAAGATCATGGACAATCAAGCACGTGCCATTGTCAAGCAGCAAAATCTGTTGGAACGCGAGTATGGTCACCAACCTCGCAACATGCTCAGAGATTCACCAAAAAGTTTTGACCAGACCATCTCGGAAACTTCTGGTAGCTGCTCTAGGTTGGTCCAGCTTGCTGTCACTCTCCGCCAGTAAGCACGGTCAGTGTAGAGGTCAACTTTGGGCACAGTTGGCGTATCGGGTTGATCTGCAGCGCTTTTGGTTTCCCTTCAAACCCATAAAAGGAGCAACACACCCTCATAACCTCAGCAACACGAATTCAACAGAATCGAAGGGTATCCTTACTTGCTATGCTACTCCTCCCGCACCAGCTTGTGTTAACAACATGGGACGGGGAAACACGCTCCATTCTGAATGCCCTCTGCTGCATCATCTATGTCAGAACTCATAGGTCAATCAATGCACCGTCCTTTTCAAGCAGGTACTTCCCATCATCATCCGTCTCACAAAGGCACACACAAACAGCCAAACACGCACACACAGACACAGACACAGACACAGACACAGACACAGACACAGACACAGACACAGACACAGACACAGACACAGACACAGACACAGACACAGACACAGACACAGACACACATTTGCATGTCCTCATAGGCACTCGATGGGTACCTGTGAGATCGCCCATTGCTCACACACATACGTAACACATCACGAAACTGGACTGTCCTCGGATCCCCTGCAAAAAGTTGGACTTGTAGTGGAAACCCCCACTAAACCAGCTAAAAAGCTAAAAAAGCTAAGGGACCGGATAACTGAGCAAAGGGGACCGTACCTCATATACTGAAGGCTGGATCTCTGGATCTCTGGATATCCCCCAGCCGGTGCCTGCCAGCCGGAAGGCCGGCGCCGTCCTGACAAACAGAAGGTGTTGCAGAATTCAATGGGTTTTCCATTGAACCATTTAGCCGAGGAGCAGAAAGCAACTGAGTTTTGTGGGTTTCCCCAACCCTTCCCAAAAAACAAATCGTCCCCGGACCCGCCGCCCTCCCTCCAGTTTTTGTTTACATCTAGGGAACATATTCTTGGAATGTTGCGAAGGGATCTGCCATGTTTTTGTTGTTTAATCTGGGTTTCGGGAGTCAAGAACTGTGTGCCTTTGAAATGTAGGGAGGTCCACCAAAGGAAAAAGGCCCTGGACATATTTTCAAGGAATTGAGATAGGATCAACGATACACTTGTGTTCTCAGTTGCCCAAAGGACCCAGAAATAAAAGGTTAACCTTTTAGGGCCATGACTAAAAATGGATCAAAATCGGAAAACCAAAAGGTTAAAAGGTCGCCCTTGGGCAACTGAGTGTTGCTTTGTTGGTCTTGGTTTGGACTTGCTTTAGAACTGGGTTCAGCAGGCCTCTACGATGGGCGGTCACCCTGGCCGGACATCCTGGTATAGAATTGGTGTAGTTCTTGTCCATCAACTTTTGTGTTGACACATTGCGGGCTTTGGGAAGACATTGGGGACCTTTAGGGGGCACGCAAACTACTTAAAACAGATGGGGTAAACTCTATTTCAATCTTTGTATTGCCCGGACTGTCATATCTATACATTTCCCGCCTGCTGGTTTGGGTGGAGAGAGATATCTAGAAAAAGCCTCCGCGATGCCCAATGGCGCCCAATGCCGACCCAGTTGATCAAGCTCAGTTTCCAGTTGTCCCTTAGGGACCTGGAAAAACAAGGTTATCTCCTTTTGGGCCCACTAAAAATGGTTGCCCAAAGGGGAAAACCAAACAGTCAAAATGTAATGCGTCAATCAGCAGGTTTCAGTCCTAAACCCATAACCTTGGCGATTAAACAGTTCCTGGCTCCGAGCCATTGAAATGCGGCTTTTTTGACCGTACCTGTGTTGCGCTTGCTTTAAAGGAAAGCCAACGGATGGTTCCCAAAAAAACAATGATAACCCCAAACAACCCCTTGGAAAAAAAGGGGACACCGGCCGTTTCGCTTGCTTCCCTCGCAAAAAATGGCCAACCCCAAATGCTCCCCGGGACCTCCCCGAACACCCCCGAGCCTGGAGTTTGATCGAGGCCTTGGCCGGTGACTTGGCTCCAGCTGGGGGCGGTGTAACATATAGGCGCCTTTATGCAAGTTGGGTATTGTCCTGGAAACCCTACGCTTGGTTTTTGGTTACAAACCATACAACTTACCATAGAAACCCCTAAAATCGTGGTGACACCCTAGAATTCCTGGTGAGTTTACCACATACAATCGCAAAGAACTTGACATTTTGTGGGTCCAATTCGGAAAATCCCACCTGTTTCAACCAAAAAGTTCAAGTCCGAAGATACTGGCCTTTAGATTTCATAGTTCCTTGTACGGATAGGCAGAAACCCTGTTTTCACCCTCGGCTCAGGGAAATCCTTGGGTCCAACTAGCTTTCCGCAACAGGCCTGCTCACAACTAACCCCAGTCGGAAACCACGTGCTGCTGTGCCAATTGCTTCAGTCTCAGGTGTCCCTGGTCCTTCCGGAAGCCAAACAGCACCTTGTTTGTGGCCCCCGAGAGAGTTGCCGTCGCCATGCCCCTTGATCCCGGCCCCTCACAGCGGAACCTCACTGGTGTGGCTGTCTTTCTAAGGGTGGAAGTACATACCCCTTGTTCATACCCCTTGGCTTCCATGGTTTCCATCAGCAGGCTTTTGGGTTCATTTGTCCAAGGGGTATGTAAAAGGGGTATGTACAAGCACCGCTGGAGTCTTGGAATCTGCGAAACACATCTATTCCATGTTCCCCCTTTAGACTCACTTCAACATCATGCACACGTTGGGCCTGACTGGATGTCAATCTCCTTGCATCCGAGCGGCATGAGTTGGTGGTAACGAGACAAGCGAGAATTGGTTTTCGGTATCAGAAGAAAGGGCGGGCTTGAGCCCTAAGGCGCCGTGATGCAGTCCCCCCAAGCACATGGCACCTGCGCCATAAAAACAGGCAAAACCTGGGGCCGGCTCCAAGGGAGCCAAACTTCAAAAACAATCCTGTTCAACTCTTTCCAGCACATCCGAGTAGATTGTCAGCGATCAGTGGAAACCGCACGTGTAGCGTTGCGTAATTCTGGAGTTCAGCGACATGACGGGGTTATGGGATGAAATCATTCATTTTACGGACACATGTTGGCTGCTTGCATGGACCAGGTTTCGGAGCACTCATTGTAGATCAGCAGAGCAGCATCACGATTCAGGGTTCACTGCAATGTGCGTCAATCAACAGCAGATTGCTGCATCACGAAGCAGGTTTCATAGCAATGCCTAGGCATCCAGCATCGTGTTTCAATGAGCTTCTACCGCAAAGCATGGCTGATCTTGAGCAAAGGTGCGCATGCCTGAACTTCAAAGGGGATTTTTTGCCCGCAACCAAATACGTCCAGGTGCATACGATGCAATCGGTACATCCCTGACAATTTGCCAGCGGCATCTCCTCGAATCCCGAGCATATCAAATGCGTCCAGCGGAGGTGCAGCAAAAACGATTCAACCGATCTGTTGAAGGACACAGGCATGTACCTGAAAGACTGACATGCGCGCTGCACAAAAAAAGCAGGTGTATCACGGGGGCCAGTTCTATTTAACATACGGACATACGCGTAGAAATGCACGGCGCCCCAGCGAAATGCTGATGGCCACACAATTCCGATACGGATTTTGAAGGTGTGATTTAGGCAAAACGGACACGGGGCCTTGGCCAGAAAAACATTTGGTGGAAAACCATTGGAAAACGGCTCTAAAACAACGTCAACAACCCATGGGTGTTTAATGGTTCCTACTTCTCGCCTTTCTTGGGGGCTTCCAACTACACGTTCGGTTTCCGACCCGGCGGGAAGCTTCTATCTGCGCAAGTTCTGCGTGCAAGTTCTCTACGCTAGTGGTCTCTGCGCAGGTCGCTCTGAGAGTAGCTGTGAAACATGTCCAACAAGCTTCTCCGCGAAAGCTCTCCGTGCAAGTTTCTGTGCGTAAACTCTCTTTTTTTTCTGCTCAAGTTTGTCTACACAAGTTCTTGGGGCAGGTTTCTCTGCGCGAGCTCTCCTTGCAAGCTTTTTCCACTAGTTGCCGATGCAAGTTTCTCTGGGCTCTGCGCAAGCCCGCTGCGTATCTCTCTGCAAGTTGCCCTGCGCAAGTTGTTGCACGCACCGTTCTCAATCAATGCAGGGGAAATGCTGCCAAAAAGATTGCACGTCGACCACAGCGATCTCCACAGAGGGTCGCGCGCAAATCAAGAAGTAGCGCAGCGCTCCGAATTTTAGGGTCAACAACAAGGGGTGGCCGCAAGCTGGCATCGATAGAGCGCCTTCTTAGAAGAGGCGTTGTCTCTTCGAGTTAGTGGCAAACCCCCTTCTGTGAGGCCCCCGGAAATACTTCTGCGAAGGGCTGTTCGAGCACCCCGCCAATGCACACATTGGTTTTGCCCTGAGTTTTTGCACATCGACCACGCTGATCAATGCAAAAGGTGGGTGTCGTGTTCTCAGGGCATGCAACATTTGTCCTGCAAACTTTGTCGTGCAAGTTCGCTCGTGCAATTCGCTGCGCGAGTTCTCTCGTACAATTTGCTGCAGGGGTTCTCTAGTGCAATTTCCTGCGCATGTTGATCCGCAATATTTGGTGCACGCTTTCTCTCGTGCAACTTGCTCTGTGTGTGTGTGGGTGTGCTCTCGCGCGACGGCTCTGCATGTGCTCTGGTGGAACAAACACAAGCACATGAACATCTGCTGTGGATTTGAACATGGAACAGAACACAAAGGAATGATATGCAAAAGGTAGATCATCCGGGGGACGCTCAGCATATATACACATACACATGCTCGCAGCATGAATCTCAAAAGTGATGTCAAAAGTACCTGTAACACTATCTGAACACAGCTCTCAGGCAACGCAATCACAATGTGAAAACAACACATGGCTATCGTCGCAACAGTCACATGGCGCTTGCGTGGAACATTCTCCACCTCTTCACCGTCAATAAACAAACCGTATATCAATATAACTTCATCTCATTTTCTCCATACTATCTATTTCCCACTCTCGTGCATCAGCAGGCCGTGCGCAAAGGATGTCTCCTGGCGAAAAACAGAATGCGATCGGCATCTCAGGTCGCTGCAGGCATGCGCGACGGCAAAGCAGGACGTGCATGGTGGCTCGTCTTTTTTTGAGGGTCCCCTTTTAGGCTGTTTGTAAACAGAAACCAAAAGGAAAACCACCATCCCCTTGGAAAGACACACCCACGAGTGCATTCAGCTGCCACGTGAATCCGTGCATTTTGTTCCACCGTGCTCTTGTAGCACATAATTCTGCGGCCGGTTTAATCCTCGGCCCAAGAAAGATTTCTTGAGGCCGCCGGCCGTATCGCCGTAACCCATGGATCCGGTCTTAAAAGCACCGACACATGCTTAAAGTCAGGCCGGACTGGGAAGATACGGGACATCTAGACCTTTTCCGCAAAGCATCGCCCATTTTATGTGAAGGGCAATGTCCTGAAGGACGCTGGGCAACTCTTCATGCAGAGGTTGGCTAGTGACGCCGGATTGGAGACGCTGCGCGGAAGAAACTCGCCTGGCATCGGAAACTGATGCGTCGGCGATTGACTTTGGCGCAAAGCACTTCTGTATCTTCAGGATGGAGGCCAACAATTTACCAAACACGAAGTTGAGTGCTTCAAATACTTCAATAACCGTCGAGCGAGCGCGTCTGAAAGAAACAACTCTGAGGATCATGACACACCATCATCGATAACCTCTCGCATTGTCAAACGATCAACAGATTCTGTCAGAAACTTCCGAAACTACAATCTAGCAGTATCACATTACAAAGAATGCCCGACTCGAGTCGCTGTGAACCGTTGTTTGGGCTCCTTATTTTGACCAACAAATCACACATATCAAACAAGTTCTTCATGCGAAACAGGTTCGCCGGACCTACTTTGGAGCCTCCTTAAGGGCAAATAAACACGTCTCGAGGGTCTTGATGTTCAATCGATCTGGAAAAGCAATCGAGAGTCAACGTCTCAGTCCGCGCAGTGAATCCTGGTCTGCTCAGCCCAGCCTCTGTATATCTGTGCATTCGTGTGAACGCCATGCAGTGGGAAGTTCAAACGCCGCACATGCACTCAATCCTCCATTTGCCGAAGTCCCCGCGAAAAATGAAAAACCCATATTCTAGTAGTCATAGATTCCCTTGAAAACAAACAGGGAAAATAACACATAATCTTAAGCAAATGGAAGCAACGACATTCGCACGAGCCGCAACCATGGCCAATGGCCATGGAGCATGGGGCAAGGTACTCGCACCCTGTGCGTATGAACACATCCCCCGGCCGTGAAGTGACTGAATCAGTCACAAGCCCAAGCACAAAGGAAACCTCCACAGGGATCTTCCCAAGCATCCAGCACACCTACTACATTGAATACCAGAGCCAGCATTGAACAAAAACACCGCCGTGTCAGGACACCACATGAGCTGATGGGACTTGAACCGCTGCTTGCTGGCTCTGTTGGCTCTGTCTTTTGGAGGATCCCATTTTTGGAAAACCAACCGAAACGGCGCTGTCCGGATTCCGCCCCACATCCAATTGTTGTCGGGGCATCTTGCCAAAGCAAAAACCAGCACATGGGCATTTCCCACAACCACGCTCCTAGAAAAAAAGGGCTGGTTTCCCTCCATGTGGTTTGCCAACCAGGACTCATGAGAACACCTGCCGCCAGCAAAGAGGCGGGGCTGCACCAAATTATGGGCACTTGTGGCCTTCTAGACAGCTGCGACGAGGCTATCCTTGCAAAGTAATTTCAACTTCAGATCCATCCAGACCGTACTACTCAGAGGACCCCCGAAAATAGATAATTTTCTTTCTAAAAGGGAACCAGCCCTCAGTACAGCCTCTTGATTAATCTGAGGTCACCAGAGACGTCCTCAGCCTGTAAAGCAAAGGGACAGGCTGTGATTGCCCGCTTTCTGACAAAAAGGCCTGTCGGGTGCACTTTTCGCAGGTGCAAATGCTTGAGCTGCTCAGCTACGAATACAAGTAGTAGCATAAAAAGACAAATAATCAGACTGGGGTTCTTGGGTACACATTAAGCCATGATCATCCCACTGAAAGTATCTAACCATTTGGCCTTGTATATTGCATGGCCTTCGCTCAATGCAAATGCGGAGTTGCTAACAGCGAATCCGGGTACTCATCTGTTCCAGGTCACCTATAGACCTCAACAACCGAAAGCACAAAGTGCACTCTGAGTCTTGAAAGTGACCTCTGTAGGATGCCTAAGTTCCTACTAAAACCGTGCGAACACTTCTAAGCCGCAACAAGAAAACTGTTTTAGTTTAAGATGAACCCGGCACCACACAACTTGCAAACTGCGCACATGAAGCCATATTTGATACTCTTTGTCCAGCACCATATGGGTGTGGCTTTTCTTGAGGCTCGGCGCTGCGCGCGGAAAACGTGCGAACCCCGCAGAGCGGAAAAAAACAACAAAATGTGCGGAAAAACAAACCACAGTCTCTGCGGAAAAAGCGGACCCCTCCTGAAAGGGGGCCGTGATGAAGGTTGTCTTGGGGATCCGCTTTTCGAGCTGGAATCCGGCATTCCAGCTCGAAAAGCGGATCCCCGGCCAATCCCTCCTGAAAGGGGGCCGTGATGAAGGTTGTCTTGGGGATCCGCTTTTCGAGCTGGAATCCGGCATTCCAGCTCGAAAAGCGGATCCCCGGCCAATCCCTCCTGAAAAGGGGGCCGTGATGAAGGTTGTCTTGGGGATCCGCTTTTCGAGCTGGAATCCGGCATTCCAGCTCGAAAAGCGGATCCCCGGCCAATCCCTCCTGAAAAGGGGGCCGTGATGAAGGTTGTCTTGGGGATCCGCTTTTCGAGCTGGAATCCGGCATTCCAGCTCGAAAAGCGGATCCCCGGCCAATCCCTCCTGAAAAGGGGGCCGTGATGAAGGTTGTCTTGGGGATCCGCTTTTCGAGCTGGAATCCGGCATTCCAGCTCGAAAAGCGGATCCCCGGCCAATCTCCTGAAAAGGGGGCCGTGTTGAAGGTTGTCTTGGGGATCCGCTTTTCGAGCTGGAATCCGGCATTCCAGCTCGAAAAGCGGATCCCCGGCCAATCTCCTGAAAAGGGGGCCGTGATGAAGGTTGTCTTGGGCGAGCTGGAATCCGGCATTCCAGCTCGAAAAGCGGATCCCCGGCCAATCTCCTGAAAAGGGGGGCCGTGATGAAGGTTGTCTTGGGGATCCGCTATTCGAGCTGGAATCCGGCATTCCAGCTCGAAAAGCGGATCCCCGGCCAATCTCCTGAAAGGGGGCCGTGATGAAGGTTGTCT